TTCAGAAGTATCTGAATATGAAGAGATGAAAATTAATTAGATATAGTCTGTTAAAACAGCTATACACTATCTTTTAATAATTTTATTTTATTATAGTCTCTCTTTACTGTACTTGTTTCTTTCTGTTCTTTTCTATCTATCTATTTAATATGTCTATCTTTAAGACTATGTTCTCTTTTTCTTTGTCATGATATTTTCAAATGATTTCAAAGTATCAGAAGGTGTTGAAATACTGCAATTTATAAATAGTTTTTATATTCTGAGCTGAAATTTTCTGATTTTACATATCTGAAATTGATAAATGTATAATAGTTGACTCTATAGATATAGGAAAAACTCTGAGAACTAAAGGTTCTCAGATAGATATTATAGTTTCTGACTGTATACATCTATAATTGAAGAATAATAATAATAATTATTATTATGAGGTCAGAGTGACTGATAAGCAAGCTTCTATCTGAGAACTCAGTATTCACTTTAACTAATTGTTTCTCTTTTCTTACATGTTATTACATGTTCAGATATCTCTTGATGAATAATTATTTCTAATAAGAAGATAATGAACATTTTTCTAGTATAAGAGACCTACGCTGAATAGATCAGTATAATATTATAGATCTTATATAACAAAGAGAAAAACATTAGAGAAGAAAAAGAAAGAGAAAGTATGAGAATCAGTGATTGAAGTGAATATTTATATGTGTATGTGATGATGTATGCGGTGAAGACGTTTGTAACAGCTGAGAATTGATAATTGAGAATGGCTGAGAATTGAGATGTATGTATTTGAGAATGAAGCAGTTGAAATCTGTGAAGTGTAACAGAATAGTCTATATAATTGATCAGACACAGTCTGCTACATAATACTTTTTAATAATACTTAGTCTCTGATATTATGAAAATAGAGTCTCTCTGTAAGATCTGTTTTTATTAGAAGTCAGAGAATTTTATATTTTTCAAGATTATCTTCACATATCTTATCTGTGAAATTAATGAGAAAAATCATTAATTTCAGTATTCTGTTCTTGATATTATTCAAGTGATAACAGAGTTCATTCTGATTACACTTTTTAAGTATATATTTTCTAATTATTCATATTTATACAGATATATACTGATTATTTATTAGATAATATTAAGATAATAACTTATTACAGCTGTGTTACTCTTACTATAAGAAATACACAGTTAATAATAAACATTATAAAGACTCTGAAAAGTAAGTATTTTAAAAATACTGCAGCTCTGTAATTAGACTGACTGTGTGATTATATCTGAGATTAGAATCAGAATATTTGATAATCTCATTATCAATTCAACTAATCTCATTACACTGTTTTAATATTAAATAGTAATCTCATACTGTCTCAGTGAAACTTACTGTCTACTCTTATCATATTTTTCAAATAAGATCATGATTTTCACTTCTCAATTTAAATTATTTTTATTGCTTTAAATGACTTTAAATCTTATTTAAGTGTTATCAAAAAGCATTACTTTTTAAAAAATTAAAAATAGTCTAAAAAAAACCTTAAAATGTCTAAAAATAGTAACTTTATGCTAAGAATGAGATTAAATAAGATTAAATAAGATCACTTTCTTATTTTTTCTAAGTTATAGTCTCATTTTAAGATCTGATATATAGTTACTTTGCATGTTTTTTTAATAATTAGTTTCAGTGGGATTTATATCAAGAAATGTATGAGATCAGACTAAATAAGATTAAATATGAAATTTATAATTCTAGCAGTCAGTCTATCTATAATCTTGATTTTTTTTTTATTTTTTTTTCATTGTGATTTTTTCTTGTTTTTATTTTATTTTTTATTTTTTTATTCTTTTTATATTTTATATTTTTTTATAATTAAAATTATATAAATTATAATTTATATTTAGAAAAGTAATAATATTTAATAATACTCTATTAAATTTTCAATAAATAAGCACTATATTATAATATTATATAAGTGAGAAATAATTTCATAATCTCATTTAATATTATTCTTAATAATGAGATCAGAATAAAAATGTAACTAAGAATTTAAATATATTCTTTATTTAAAACTATATTTTTATTTAAAAAGTAAATCTGAGATCTTTAATATTTAAAGTAATATAATTTGAAATTAATATAATAAATATAAATTATAATCAGAAGTAATGCTTTTAAGTAATATAATAACTATAAAGTTTAATTTCAATCTCAGATATAATCAGTGAGTTATATAATTAGTCTACTTACTATAGCTACTGATTTATATAATCAGTGATTACAAGCTTTTATATAAAATTATATAGTAGCTAGCTTCTTATAATATAATTACTCTATTATATTATCTTCATTAAAATTATCTATAATTTTATATTTTTAATTAATATTTTAAAAATAAAGTAACTTGATTTTATTTTTATAACACTGATAGAATTATAATATTTAATTAATTTTAATAAATACTTTTAAATTTTCAATAATAAGATTATGAAGAATTTGAAATGTATAAGAGAAACTACAATCTATTAATTAATTGATATAAAAAAGAAGCTGTTTTTCTTATAAATCTGTGAGATTTTTATAATAAATAGAGTTTGTTTTTTTTCTTGATATTTGAATATCTCTATAAAACTGTGATAATATATATTAACTAATTTCATACTTTTTAGCAATCTCAGTGTAATTAGAGATCAATTGTGTGTTCAAATCATCAATTGTTACTTATATAACTGCTTCATGATGCATGTTGTGAGTGTTTGAAGATGGATGAAAAAATGAAGATTGGGCGGGCATTGGGGGTAAGCGGGCGTTGGGTGGTTGATCACGTTACAGCAGTGAGCAAATTGTCAAATACGAAGAGAAAAATAGCCACTCGCCATGACGACGTATCCCAGGAGGCGTTGAACAGTCACGGCGCAGAATATCCCTTCTGAAGCTACTGTAGCAAGGGGCCAAGAGATAATAATAATAACAGCGCGACCTGAGTCTTCGGGCGCAGAGTATCAATCGTCAGGACCAAGCCATACATACATACATACACACATACATACATACATACATACATACATACACACATACATACATACATACATACATACGTACATACATACATACATACATACATACATACATACATACATACATACATACATACATACACGCATACATACACGCATACAATACCGGGATTCGGGCTGCTCCGTCACCTGTTATACGGTCGTGAAAAGAACAAAAGAGGAAAAAAATTCGGAAAAAGGAATATGAAAAAAGAAAAAAAAACAAAAAAAGAAAAACCGCGGCCGTTGTGGCTTTGCCTTGGCTGGAGCTCCAAGCTCCGCTCCGATGAGTTGGGAAAAGCTCCATGACATCGAACTCGGAAATCCGGGTCGCGGCACGGAAAAGGGAAGATACAAAGCAAAATATCTCTCTCTCTCTTCCCTCACTCACCACGTCTTTCGCGCCGGCAGGGACTTTTTTATTTTTTTTAATTTATTTATTTATTTTTTTTTTTTGCAATCATCCCATCCATAATAATTATGTAAACCCTCCCGGCACAAAATCCCACGCGCAGACCCGCAGACCCGCAGACCCGCAGACCACGCGACTCTGCTTCAACACAACGATGTTCTTTCTCAAGGATAGTAGAGTAGTGCAACAGGGGGAAAATAAAAATAAAGGCTGAGAACGAACTTGCCTTGTCATGACGAACAAGTGGGCAGGAAAGAACCAGTTTGACAGCAGGGACAACAGAATCTGCTTGCTGGGAAGTTTATTATTATATTGTTTACGATTTGATTGTTTGAGAAGAGGGATTTATACACACACTCTCTTCTCTTTGATAGATGATAGAATGCACCTCTTACTAAATTAAATATAATAGGAATGGCTCAGGAATTGAATTTCCGTTAATTAATACATGAAAAACTAGAAATCTTCTATGCACAGTATGGACACAGGTAAAAAATAGTGGTTAACAGAATCAATGTTCTGCAGCTCTCATTCTCTCCCTGTGTCAAATCTATGACCTCTATGATAACCTTTCAAATAATCTGATTCTCTCACAGATTCTTTAAATAAAATCTTCTATTCTATCTGTTGAAATAGAGAGCTGTTATTATTAGTTGAAGCAGAGATTTCTTCAAAAAATTGTCTATTAATACTCTCTACCCTCAGCGCATAGAATCTGTCATTGACACTAATGTTGATTAACTACTCCGTACATGTCGTGTATATATAAAATCCCTTTCGAGAAGCCCCAAACAGCAGGAAAGAAGAACTCGCTCATCGGTCCTTGGCGAAGCCGATGCGGTTTATTTTTCAATTTTCAATTTTATTTTAATTTTTCTTTATTTTTTTTAAACCTCTAGACGGGAGCGGAAAAGCCGCAGAGAGAGGCAGGTTTGTTGCATTCCTATGATTACCCAAGAACTTTTCAAACCGTCGTCGGGCCTAAGCAGTATTGCACAGCCCACCCGCCGAGAATATCGTTATGGCTGGTGTTTGGGATCTGGAGGAATAGTTCGACCGTCGGGGCTGACAGGCATTATCAATTCATGAAAGTATTTTATATTGACGAGGGCTTGTGGGCAACTTGGCATCTCGGCATTTTTATTTTCATGTTAAGTCTTGCAATTCGCATTTTGCTCGTGTCCTCTCTCAGCTTTAAAAATTTGAAAGTAAAAACGGCGAATTAATTCCCACTTTGCCAATACTAATAATAAGACATCCTTTTCATCGTCGTGGTTTTGTTTCTCTGCTTAGCCTTGCAGCAATAAGTTGTTATGCTTGGTGACATTAAAGTGAAAAGGGGATGGATGATATGATGTGATGACATCCCCGTACAAGATTCTTTACAATACAATTACGCTGTAACTACAATGCAATGTCCTGGCGCCGCCAGCTGTAGACAATCTGTATGAATAGTAACTTATTAATAACGTTACAGACTAATCCCCCCATGCCTCCCACCATTTTGTTGGCTGGTATATTATCTATCTACTTGGTTATCATCAGCGATTCCTAACATCGTCATTATTATTATTATTGCGCTCTCAACGCTCCCTCGGGAAACAACCGTCCGTGTCCTCACTTTCCAATAATCAGTAGTTACGCTGTACGCAGCGTAGTAATAGCAATGCTGCCGCAGTTGCCAGCCAGTCGCCTGTTGCTCGCTCTCATGTATCATACATATCACAGAAATGAACAACAATCAAGCGAGTGGAGAAAAACCTGATTTTTATCAGATAGTTATGCATTGAGTTAGTTGCCTTCTTCGAAAAACCGGATACGTATCTACTGTTTTGAAATCTTCTTTCGTTTATTTTGTCAAAACTCAACTACAGATACTTTTGATTGTTTACCGTGGTCCGAATTAAATTGAACCTGAATACCACCAAAAAATATACATTTATCTTGGATGATGAGTACTCCGCAGCACATTATTGGGTATTCATATACCCCGTATTTGACATCTTCGGTCAAACTACGCTTCTCTTGAGCGGTTCTATATGTACAGTACGTTGCACCTGCCACTGAAACGACGATGCTACGTCTAATAATCAAACCAGAGCATACCGATATAGGCAGCGTCAGCACCAACAAGCTTGAGGATAGCGCGGGAACCACCGTACCTTGCATTGGTCGTCTGTTCAACAACAGGCTCGTAATAATAATAATGACCTGCCCGTCCTGGCGGGGGAGGCGGACACCTGGTCCACAAAGCCTAACATCGCGTCAATGATATCATCCCACCTCGGCGGCCTCTCTCTCTCTCTCTCTCTTGATCGACGACGAAGAAGAAGAAGAAGAAGAAGAGCACCCTCTCTTCCCCAGACCAAGCAATCTCCATTGCCATTGAACAGAGGTTTCTATATAACAAGGGCAACAAAAGGATAGTTTAAAACTCTCTGCGTTGCATGCCACTATATATACGGTACCTCTCAGTATAACTATAAATTTGCAAATGAAAAAGAAAAGGATTACTCATAGAAAGCACTTCATAGGCTGATATCCTTCTTGTCAAAGCCATTGACTGAAAATAAGCTCTTCCCGCCACCAGATTGACACGGACCGGTCAGGATCTAGAATCTCTAAGTTATCTATCCAAACCTTCCAACACACACACTTTTTTCTTCTTCAATATCTTTCCAATAATGGGGGGTGTTGGAAAGCCCTTGACGAAAATTGCAACCTCTTTTTTTCACTTTCTTGGTTCCTGTTTTTCTTCTTCTTTTTCATTTTTGCATTTTTTATTTTTTGCATTACAACACATTTTGGCTGGCTCATGGCGTTTGTAGCAGGAAGACACACCGACCTTCATTATTGGTTGCGGCGTGCAGTGAGCTTGCTTCTGAGATTGGGATTTCGACCTCCTTTCCGCCTTGATTGATAATCGTCGAGTGACAAACAGCCCCATGGCTTCCACCCTAGACGACCTTAGCGCCGTATCCAGAGTATCTCTCTCTTTTTAACTCCAGCAGTAAACCCCGAAAGCCCGTCGACTTCACCTACGACGACTCGGAGAGATTCAAGGCGGGCGCTGACAAATTACCTCAAAAAGAAGCAAGATACATAGGTAATCAACTTTTCTTTTGATGACATCTATTTCGTAGCGTTATCTGGCTCTTGAAGAATCTTTACTTAGTCTTTCGTAATCCATGTTTACTCTGCGGGATTATTGCTGAATGAAGGATGCAAAATTAATTGCCTTTGATCAAGTTGGCGAAAAATAAAATGTGACAAAATTGCAGAGTTGGCCTCGGTTAAAGTTAAGTGGTTGTACATGTACATGTACATTACATTACATGTATGTATGAGGTCATGGCTCAGCTATAGCATCATCGGGCGGAATTTGCCATAAAATATCGTCAATTGAGTTTACCCTTCATCATTGATCTAAGCTTATTCCTCTCAGCCTTACTTTGAGCTTGATGCTACGTGTACGGAGTACGCGTACACTCTTGGGTGCATTTTAATTTGCATGCTCCTCCTCTTCTGTCACGGCGACACCTTGTCGCACGCTTTGAAAAGCGGCTATGGTGGGGGGGGGGGGGGGCGTCCCTCTCTCACTTCCTTTGAAGGGGCCTAGTTATGTATTGTGCATGTTACATGTACATGTAACCTGGGTAGCTGGACTTGCAATTAACCCATTCCATTCATCAATGGCAAGTTAGTTACCCAGCTCGCGGGTGTTCGTTTTCTCGTAGTGGTTTGTAGGTAGGTATGGAGCCCATTGTACGTACATACATACATTATTATACATACATCCGTGCATACATCCATAGTTACATACTGTACATGAAGGTTTGTTTATACGTTGCGAGGTTACAACCAACCCCATTTCCTCTAGCGTATTGCGCGAGTGAAGTTTGATCTGTGATGAATCATCATATGTAAGAATCACGTCTCCATTTCAGGTAAACAGACCTTAAATTCAGTCGCCCTTTGTTCACCCCAGCCGGGGGAGGGTTCACGATGACAATACGCCAAACGCGCGGTGAATGCAGGTAAGCTCCCCCCCCTCGGAAGAAAATTGCACAAGGTATCCAGGGACATACGCTGTATGCACTTCAGCCGCCCACCGATGCTTCTGTCTTATTAATCACAGAGCATAACTAGCTAGTTAGTTTACTGATAATTAATGTCACGCGTGGGGGAGAGCTGTTTATACCCATGCACTCAATCTATCATGGGCCAACTCAACGCTTTTTGATGATGACAGACTTATCGTCCAGCAATTGAGCGGAATGCTCGTGAGGCCATCTCGTGGAGAGGGGCCACTGGGATACATAGTTAACTAGTAGAAAATTAACTAACGTTACAGAGTTAGTGAAATGAAATATTATTGGAGAGGATTCACCGCACTTGGCTCGAACTGCAATGTAAGTCTTTGCTTTTGGGTCAACCAACACGTACGAAGTCCAGGAGAACTATGGATGTCCATGAGGTTCTGCCGTCAAACCAAAGCTTCTTCTGCTTTTGTGCAAGTGGGGGATTTACACCCAAAGTTAAGCACTCCGTCACAGATAGCGATGACAAGGCGTTGAACAAGTCTCGAGGAGTAAGTAGCATGCAACTATTGATGTCAGAGACATCCTCAAGAAGATAGTTAATCATTCATACAAAAGAGATATATCTGTAAAGGTGTCTGTCGCTTGCGTTCAGTCATGCCAGGCTTCTCAAGGGACAAAAGGACAGGCAAACAAGAAATAAGATAAAATAAGATAGGATAGGATTAAATAAATAAGAAATGAAAAAGTGTTATCATAAATACCTAAACCTAACCCATAAAAGACCCCCCCTTGAAGACAAAAAGAAAAAAGGAGCAGCCAAATCCGAGCAGGAAAGCAGAAAGAAGACTGAACTTGAGAGGGAAAACACCCAGAACACGTTTCCATCGAAGAAAACTACCTAAACCTCGACCTCAACGGTCAATCCACCACCCTCCCCATCATCCGTCCCCGACCCATTTCCATCTTCCTCATCGTCGTAATCGTCCTCATAATCATCCCCCCCATCATACTCATCCGTCTCCGCAGCCGTTCCAGTTCCATGGTGCGAATGTCGCTGCTGTCGATGACCGCGCGACGAATGTGACTGCTCGCGACTCGTACCTGTGGCGGCGCTTGAATGCCTATGCCCCTTTTGGCTGCGACCATACGGCCGGCTATCATGCCGCTGCTGATATCCGCCACTTCCATCACTACCGCGGTGGTCGATGATGACCATCTCGCCCTCATCAGGGTCTCCGCTACCTTCTTCGCCCTCGCGATCAGTATCATCACCGTTATCGCGGTGACGACGTTGATGATAGGGGCTGACAGTCGCCCTGCTAGCTCGGGAGCGTTCCGCATCATCCACGACGGCGGCTGCTGGCGCGGAGAGATGGCGGCTGGGAGCCGTGGGGCCGTTTCCGCTTCCATCCCCAGTCCCGCCTCCTCCTGAACCATTGTTGCTGCTACTTCGGTTATGAGGGGTATTGGAAATAGCACCCCGGTACTGCTGCCTCATCCTTTGCCTAGCCAACTCAGCTGCAAGCTCCTCATTGCGCGCATTCTGCTCTTCCAGCCGCTTACGCGCACCGGAACGGTCAAGTAAACGCGCTTCGCGTTCTGCCGTGAGGCGGCGCTCGAGCTCCTGCAATCTTTTTATCCATTTCTCCTGTGAGGGTTCGCTGCTGGAGTGCGAATGGCGTGGAGAAGTGACGTGATGGTATTGTGACTGTTGCTGGGCGACCTGTGTGGAAGATGATGTTCCAGCGGGTGCGACGGGATTGTTCGTGAGTGTTGAAGAAGAGGAGTACTGGGATGGTTGAGGGATGCCAGAGGAACCGCGGGAGAGGGTACTGGGACTTCGGCTGGGTTGTGGTCCGTGGCCGTGTATTCCAGCTATAGACGCGTTGTCAACTGCAGTCGTGGAGCTGTATCGTGATAAGGTGTTGGCGGCGAGGTTAGATGCAGACTGTCGTGACGAGCCGTGGCCGTTTCCACCTCCAGCGGCTGCGGCATTAGCCGCACGAGCCCGTGAATGAGATTGGAGAAGATTCAGCTCGGCCTTTAACAACCTGTTCTCGCCCCTGAGTTTGGATATTTCGGGGCTGGAAGGGTTTGAAGAGGTTGAACGGTGATGCTGTTGGCTAGATCTCAAACTTTGAACCAATTCCTCCATCCGCTCCAGTTTCTTAATGCGGACGTTCAGATTATGTTCGAGATTCTGATAGTCCTTTGTCAGGTCCCGCTCCACAGACTTAATGCGCGCCTTGAAGCCGCCAATGTGGGTTTCAACCGTCTTTACCGCGAGCAGGAGATTGCGGCTAAAACCTGGCCAGAAAAGCATATTCCCGATAACCTCCTGGCTGGGCAGGTTTCCGTTGATTAGACTGTTCGAGTGGGCCCAGTCAGGTCCGCACATGGCAGAGAGTCGTTTCCAAATAGTGAGGAACATTGCATTGCGCTCACTTAATTGGTCCTTATACTGTTGTTCGAGGGTACTGAAACGCTTCCGGTCCTGACTTCGTGCAGACTCCAAGTCCGAGATCCGCGAGTTATTCTGTGAGATTGTCCGCGACGCTTGGTGGTGGGATTTGAGTGACTGTTCGAATGAATGTTTATCTGCCCGGTGCGCTTGACGCTCCCTCTCCAAGAGATCTGCTAGTTTGCGAGTCTCCAAACCATGGCTCTCGAGGAGGGCATCGCGGTTGCGGAGCAGGGATTCTTTCTCATCGAGCTTGGTGCGAGTACTCTCCAGCTCCAGAGCGGTTGAATCTAACTCCTGCTGCAGCTTAGTTATTGAAGAAAGTAAGCTTGAGCGTGTGCCGTTGAGGTCGCCAAGGGCTTCACGGAGGCTGTTTTCCAATTCCACAAATCGCTCTTTCCAAGTCGTAGCCTCGATATCCCTTGAAGAGAGAGTCTTCTTCAGCTTACGGACCTCATCCTTGGCAGTAGTGGCCTCGCGGTTAAGCTCATTCATAATTCGTTGAACCTCCTGCTTCTCCTTACCCCCAACAACTTCCCGCTGGTGTCTTTCCTCCGCAAGGCGACGATCAAGCTCTTTAGCTCTATCCTTCTCAATTTGTAGACTCATCTGACACGTCTTCAACTCAGACTCCAAATCCCCGATCTTAATCTTATCGCCATCTTGCTCCTCACGGAGGAACGCAATCTCATTCTGACTAGATTCCTGCTGAACAGTCAACCGCTGCACTTTATTATTAGCTTCAAAGAGACTCTTCTCCATCTGCTCCAGCTCCCGATTCGCATCATCCAACTCCTGCTGTACAGCTTTGTATTTCTGTAAGTTGTTTTGTGCATCTTGTTCGAGTCTGATAATGCCCTCGCTTGCTGACCGCATTTCTGCCTGCAAGGCCTTGAGATTCTCATGTTGATTAGACAATTCAGCCTCCATGCGCTGACATTCGTCAATCTTCTGATCCAGCTCATCGCCCATGGCATCCAGTTCTTCCTGCGCCTCTGCTTTAAGATCCTGCAAGGCTTCCTCCCGCTCATCAGCAATCTGCATCGCCTGATCCCGTTCCATTTGTATAGTTTGCAAGTCTTCCTCAGCCTGTTCCACATCAGCTTGGTATGCACGGTCCAACGCCTCCAGATCGCTCATGCATTCGTCAAGTTGAGCGCGAATACTTTGATTCTCAAGCTTAAGCGCTGACACATGATCGCGGAGTTCCCCATTTTTGATCTCAAGGCTTTCGCGTTCTGCATCGCTGGTGCGAGATCTCGTCCCGTCGCTTGTACGAGAATTGGACCTATCCTGGGCGCGGGATATTGAACGCTCAAAAATACTATCGCCGGCAACAGACCGGCCACCGTCTCCTCTCCGCTGGCCCAATTTCAAGTCTTCGATTTCCTGGTAAAGTCTCTCCTTTTCCCGATTCCTAGACGTTAGCATGGAGGTCTGTGCACTGACTTCGCGGCGAAGCTCGGCATTTTCTTGCTTAAGAAGCTCTAATTCGACGAGGGTGGTGCTGGAAGTAGTGCCAAGAGCAGCACTCCGGTCAATGTCCCGGTCTGAGGCGCTGGATCGAGACAACACGGACAATTTGCCAACACGAGAACCTCCAGATCGGCTACCAGAGATTGTATCTGGCTTCATGCGCAGAAGCTCATCCCGAAGCTTTCTGTTTTCCTCTTCCGCCTGTTCTCGGGCTGCGGCTTCTGCGTCAAGCATGTCCTTCCACATATCCTAAAGCGAAAATAGAATATGTCAGTAAAAGTCTATAAAATGGTCGCCCAGCATAGAGGGCAACCTTCTCCCCTACTACCAAGAATCATCATAATGCAAACCACTCACCCTCTCCTCCCTTGCCCCCGCATCAGAGCCAATAGCTACTCTCCCCTCTCCCAGCGACTTTACCATCTCAGCCAACCGCCTCTTCTCACTCTCCCGCGAAATACTTTCCGACCTCAATCTTTCAATCTCCACCTCATACGTCTCAATCCTTTCGCGCAGATATGTCAGCTCTTCCTCATCCACACCGCCATGCCCCTGACCCTGCCCATCCTCATCCTCAGCATCCGCCCCATCTTCTCTCTCGGACTTTTCCCGGTCCCCATCACTCTCCCCGCCCTTGCGATCGCGAAGCTGCTTCTCTAAATCACGAATATTCCTCCGAAGCGCCTGATTATCCTTCTGTAGTTTGATTTTATCGGACTTCAGCTCCACGTTTTCAGAGATCATTTCTTTCACGCCCTCTTCAGAGCGTTTATTCAGCGCCTCGTTGAGGAAGTGAATACGCATCTTGAGGTCAAAATTCTCTTTCGACAGCCTATCTATGGTGCTGCTCTGTTCCTTGAGTGTCAGTGACTTACCGCTGCGCCCAAACGCGGGGGTTGGGGCACCTCCACGCTTGTCTGGGGATATGCCAAGAGTACTTTCTCGGAATTGACGGGCGAGCGTGGCTGGTATCAGGATGTCCTTGATGTGGCCTACTATCGCGGTTTCTAGTGGTGGTTGATCGCGCGGTTGAGCTTTGGGAGTCATGGGATCCGTCACGGATTTCTTCCCTGATGACCCCGGGCGGGTCTGTGAGGTAGAATCTTCTTCATCCAACGTATGTAGACTGACGTCTGAAACACCACTGAACCCTCTCCGCTGTTCCATCAAGTTATCATCACTCATGCCCGATACGCCAGACGCCATACTTCCAAGGCTTATCGACCTGGACAGCTCCTTCTTCTGTCTACCGTGACTGTGTGACCGCTGGCCGCTGTGATTCGCTGGCGCTGCCCCGCCGGACTGGATTGCAAAATCGACCCCCATCGCAGCTTCGCTAGACGCAGTATCCGTGCCGATAGTGGCAGTGGAAGAACTTGAGAACCGGTGAACGGACTGTCGACTCGTCAAGAATTTGGGTCGTTTGCGTCTGCGCTCCGAAGCCGAGCCGGAATCGTGTGGCGTATCTCCCTCACTACCGCTTACTCCCGTAGTATCTTGCAGTTGCCGCGAGGCGGCACGGGTTGGGGAAATGTTCCGCGTAGAGCGGCGCGGGGTAGCATTTACATTATCATCGTCTGTACTAGATAGTTGTGAATCGTCCCGTTCACTATGTTGACGGCGATGGGATGCACTGCTCCGTAGACTAGAGTTCGACATAGCTGTAGATATAGCCCTCGAGACGGTTCTCGCCGCCGCAGCTGCGGTTGGTGAGGATGATACGGTATCTAACGATGAAGTATTGAGAGTATCATTCCCTTTTGCAGAAGGAGTCAAATCCAAGTCCTCATAATTATCATTGTCATGGCTGTGCTCGCTCCCCCTCTTCTCATCTGAATCCCCTTCGTCCTCGAACAAAGAGGGTTCTAATCTGGTAGCGCGGCGAGCTGCCGGGGTTTTGTATGCGCCGGGCGGTGTAGTAGGGGAAGGGGGAGTTTCTCGACTGTCACCCTCGTCGACCTGCGACACATCCCTATCGCCCACGCCAATCAAGTATGTATCGTCCGGCGCAGGTACGCCGGGTGTAGCAGCGACATCAATTGTGGAGGGTTCAGGGAGAAAGCTGGATTCTATGTCCAGTAGTTTCTGGCGCATTTCTTTCTCGTCGAGAGCGGTTTGGTTTGGTAGTGTCTGATCATTGTAGTTTTCATTGTAGTTTTCATGTTCATTTTCATTTTCGTTTTCGTTTCCGTGGTCGTGGTCGTGGTCGTGGTCATGGTCATCTACAATCTCATTTTCCCGCCCATGCTCTTGATTCTTATGCTTGCTCTCTTTAGGCTCGTACTCGTGGTCATGGTCGTCGTTATGGTCGTTAGTACTGGTCGAGTTGTCCATGGTGTCATGATATTCAGGGTAGGGGATAGAGGAAGTGAGCAAAAGGCCTCTGGAATCGTTGAAGTCAATGCTAGGAAGAGGAATCGTAGAGGAAGAATAATCGTCGATGGCCAGAACAGGCGATGGTGAAGACATCGGCTCTTCATGCTGCGGGTGTTGACGCGGTGACAACGGCAGGGGTGGATCCTTGAAGCTAAGTAAAAGCGGGCTATGGTCATTTTTGCCGTTGTCATTAGTATTATCGGCATGGGTATTTGCACCCCCAGTCATCGTCAACAGGCTGCTCGACTGATTCTTCTCATCTTCATCCCATGGCGGCGGGTACTGTTCTTCAAATTCTTGATCCCCACGCTGCTCTCCTTGCCTCCCATCCTGCTGCGTCCTGGCCTCGTCGTCAAACTCCATTTTCATCGGCGAGAGCTCATCGTCTGTATCAAACCCACCAGGAACCCTGGACGGCCGCCGTCTCTGGGCTGCGAGAGGCTTATCTGTGAGGTCTGGAGTTGTACCGAGGAGAACGGGAGGGGGATATGATGCTGATACCGAACGTGAAGCGGCCATGGCTATTCTTGAATATCTGTTTAGGTGGATGTTGTGGTGGTTCGTTCGAGATGTGTTTGGCTGTGATTTGTTGTCATGCCGTCCGTCAGCAGAAAGTCCAGTATAGGGCCTTAGGTTAGTAGTATGTTGGAGTGCAGGGCCAATTGGTTTGGTTGTTGTAGCTGCTCAGCGCATGGTGATAATAAAGCCTTGGGCGTTCGTTGTTGTGGTAGATGTTTGGTGCTGGAGGTGTTCCAGGTTCTGGCCGTGATAAATAAATAAATACTTCAAACATTCTTTTTGGTTCAGGGACACACACAGCCATCGGCACAACCTCAACCCAATTACTCAATTATTCAGCTTTCCACATTTTCCTTACTTCCCTTGGAGACACGCAGAATTGAGTACTCGTTCGGATTATTTATATGTCTATCAATTTCCAGCGGCATCGTCTGTATTTAGGAATCCGGCTCAATATCCTCCCCATCCAACTTATCTATATATCTACTTCGAGGCGAGCACAGTTAAGGCCCCCTCATGAACTGGCCCATTAACTCGTTCAAGAGACCAGAACCATTCAATTGGCACGTATTATTATTCTACCGTAGCCATCTGCGCGAGGAAGCTGTCCCATTCTCTCTCTCAAGCCAAAGCTATCTCTCTCTCCGGCTTCAGCAGGTCATCCATAAACCCCATTTGCCATGAGCTACAACCATTTACCTACGGTGAAAAAATGGCATTTCGAAAAAATAGGCGACATGAAATCGCAATTTTATATGCACTCCATCCTCGACACACTGTAAATCAACATTACACAAAATCAATACAGATATTTATCAGAAATGTTGATTGAATTATTTTAGAGCAAAAGTGTTACTTAAGCCTCATACCTTTAAACACAACAGTTATGATAGCTTAACAAAAATAAAAAAGAAATGCCACTGAAATTCTTGCAAAGAAACATCATGAGAAAAAGAAAATAAATAATAAATAAACGGAATGAAATCATGGAATCAGGTCAGATTATGCCCAGCTGAGAAATGATCAAATAAACAAAGTGAAGAAAAGGAGAAGAGGATATTAAAATAATATAAGTAAAGTAATATACGTATTCGTTTCTTCGCTTGCTTGCCTTGTGTGCCATTGTCACGAGAAGAGAAATGGACAAAAATTAAAAATTAAAAACAAAAATAATAAAAATAAAAAGTAGACTCATTGCAAAAGATGTAAACCAGCAAGTGTGTGAGACACAATTAACAATAATGTGTAATAATTTCACAACACCGGCCCAGTCGTATGGGGTTGTCCCCCCCCCAAAAAAGAGACAAAAAAAGTAAAAACTCTAGAAGAAAAGTGGTTCAGATATAATATCAGCCTTAGGAAAAAAAAAAAAAAAAATTAAAAGTCCACAATAGCAAAATCAACCCCAAAAACAAAGGAAACGGTCATCAAGAAACACTAAAACTAGAAGCCCGCGGCCTATCAACTGGCGATGATGTCTTAAGCTCGAGTGCTTCCGGTGTCGCCGTCGTTACTTCCGTACGCGTAGTCTCGCCAGAGCCACCTGTAATTTTCTCCCTCAACGTCTGCGCCGCCGTCAAACAATCAATATACGTCCGAAACTTCACAATCTCCCTCAGCAAATACGAGCTCTTCCGCTCCCAATTCGCCAGCGCCTTATTCGCGTTAGGGTGGCGGGGAGTGAAGGCCAGAGTCATCGCGGCACGCAGTTCGTTATGTCGCTGCAGCTCCTCCTCGACGTGTTTCACGTATTTGCGCAGCGTGGCGAGTTGTTCTTTTTCTGGGAGTGTGGATGCCATCATGCTTTGTTGCGGAGGGGTCCAGTCGCTGATGTGTATACGGTCGGCGGGGAGACGCGGGCGGATGTTGGATGGGTGGTCTAGGGAGCCACGGAAGGAGCTTTGGAAGCTTTGGCGGGTTGCAGAGGAGTTTGCGGTTTGTGGTGGTGGCGTTGGATGAGGGCCGCTGGAGGAGGAAGAGGGAGGGGCAGCGGTGCTTTCGGTGTTGCTGTTATTATGGACTAAAGCGCTGTTAATGACTGCAGTGCTCCAGCCGTATTCGATGTTACTGATGCCTCCAAATAGAGGCTCCTTGGATAACCTAGCGCTCCAATAGTTGGCGGATGAGACGAACTCCTTCACGATATCTGGCGTGCCTACTTGGAACAGGTGAACAGCGCCGGTGGGCAAGCTTAGAGCCCATACATGGGGTCGGGACTTTGAGTAGCCCGGTGACGGGAGGGCGCTGGCAATGGACTGGCGTAGAAGGAACTTCCACGTTTCCTCAGCGTTCTCTGTCCAATTCCCCCCACCGACGACAAGACCGCCATTCTGTCGCTGTTTCGGCTTCAGCCGCATGGACTTGCTTGAGGCGTTGAATGAAAACAATCTCATCCAACCGCGCTGTATCACGGCAAACGATTCATTCCAATTTCTATCTTTGGAGCGTTTATCGACTGAATCAAGATGATGTTTATGTTTGAGACTACCCTCCTTTGCCCACGGTGCACCCGCGAGCTCCAAGGTTTCATCCTCTAGAAGCGCCGCTGCACGTTCGGGATCCTCCATGCCGGACAGAGAATTAGCCGAGTCCTCGCGAATAATAGCATGACTCAAGGCATTGGCAAACCCAATGGACTGCTGATAGTCTCCTCGTGGAAATTCAGAACCTAGAGAATCCATCGACATAGATGTCAATGTCTTGCCAAGGGAATGCTTGCTCCACGTACTCGATGCCGATGGCGACCAAAGAGACGATTGATCATCGAGGCTTGTACGGCTTGAGCCGAAATGTGAAGTTGGATACAATCTCGGGCGAGACCTAGGTTTCGACGACCACCTTGCGGTTGACACTCGATTCTCCATGTGCCGACCTCGGGGGTGAATATCTGATCCGCTTTTGCTCAACGTGCTTGGTGTGCGACGAAGCATATTACCAGTCAGTGTTAGAAAGTTGTTCGAATGCTGTTGATGTTCTTCAGCTTCTGCAGTGGCGCCTCGCAGGGGTAATCTCTGTTTTTGGATAGAGTGATAAAAGTCTTTAAGAACGTTTTCAATTTGAAATTCCCAGCTTTTCTGTGTGCCCCGGTATGGCATAGAAACCAAGGGTCCCGAATCGCCGGAAGCAACATCAAGATTCTGGCTCGTGGAGATGGTGCATACAGAGTTCGTCCTGGGAGTGTCCTCAACAGGTTTTGAGAGGGTATTATTGGGAACATCCATATCTACTGAACCGTCGCCTCCATGTCGAATAGGCAACAGCGTAGGAGATTTTGCGACAAGCGGGCTAGAGTTCACGCTTGCTCCTTGAGTTTGGGTCTTGCTGGAAAGATTTCCAGGGTTTGCTCGTTCGAAAGCGTTCGGAGCAGCATCAGAAACAACCCTCTGGATAGTCGGCATAGTGTTCTTAATAAATTGACTGCGAGTCATTTTCTGCTCAATATCCGCCATGTGGAGATCGGTATTCAACAGGAGAAGAGAGTAGCATATTGTATGAACAACATCTACCAAAACGAAAGAAAAGATTATTAGTAAAATATAGCAGCCAAAACGACAATTTGAAGGGAAATGATTCTAACATACCTGTTGCCTTAAATCCATGCTCCGGATTACATTCACACCAACGCGATGAGAAAGCATCAAGAATCCTATCAACCTGTTGAGTTTCACCCTTTAGCGCAAGTCGCCCGCATAATCCTCTCAATGCCGCTAAGATATTCATATTTGACCAGTCAAAAAGTTCCATGTAAGCCTTTCTAACGGCTGACCGGTCTGGATTTCCAAGCCAAGCTGCAGCAGGTTCTTTGTCTGCGTCATGGTCGAGATCGTCGAATATCCTTTGGGCATGCTGTCTATCCTCCGCAGTAGGCTCCTCATTAATAGCAAGGCCAGTAGTTTCACCGTTGTTAGCATCGGTGGGTTTCTTCTCGGCTTGTATCTCCGTACGTAGCGGAGGCAGTGCCTGCGGCTTAGTATCTTTGTTTGTGTTTTCATCATCCGGGATTATAGGAGTGGTTGATGCAGTGTGATAGTTGGACACAGTTGATAGCGACGCCCGCGGAGACGTAACTGTCCCTTCCAGCGGTAGATCCAACTTGCCACGCCCATCAGCTAAATGTTCTACAGAAGAATCAGGCTCCAGCCAGGCCTTCTCATGCAGTTGCCTCGAAGGATGGGCATGATTATCCCCCGGTAGAATTTGAGGTTGCACAGATGACGAGCCGTGTTGAGTTTTCTGATCCGACACTGAAGTCGATAATGAAGTTGTAGTGGACGATTCATCAACTGCGCCGTGCCTGCTATGCGACGATTTCAGGTACGCCGGCAAAATTGAGTACGACGCACGGGAACTACTAGCACTCGTTTTCCCTGACGAATGTGAACCACTAGCGACTTCCGATGATTGTCCAACTGGCATTAGTTTCATGTGAGTTGGTGCATTGGGGCTAGTCATAGGCCGCCTGAATCTTTCACCAGAATACGAAAGACCGGTTCCCTCATTTCCACTGCTGCTATCCGCCAGGAAAGAATCATCATGGTCACGAGAAGGCACGTTAAGACTAAGTCCGGATTTGAAATTAAGCGAACTGGGTTTCCTTGGCTTCTTCCCACGTGGATTATGCTCCAAATCTCCACGTTTTGTTGCGTTGCCCTCATTCAGAGATCGTGGTTCACTGCCGGAAATCTCATTATCTGCATCGTCGACTACGGGGTCGTGATCCACCTGATGAGAGGGAGCGTTTGTTAAGAAAGGATCCATAACCTTCCTGAGACTGCTAACTGGACTAGGCTCTGGACCCAAATCGCCACGTAAATGATCAACCTTATAATGATCGGGTTTCGAACCGCTAAGAGTTTGGATATTAGGAGGAGGTAATTTCAATGGTGGCGGAACATGGTCTGGGATGGACTTCTTGCGGCGACGGAAGAAGGATGATGGCTTTTTGGTTATCACGGGGGTGTTTTCGCGGCTCGACATGTTGTTTCCTGGGGACGAGTACTTCTTTGTTTGTTTCTGGCCTTTGGAAGAATTCGGCGCACTTTGCTGCTGTTCTCTTTGCCGTCGGTGGGTCTCGTTTTCTTGGCTATATGAAGAGTCGGCTTCGGACTGGGATGGGGTTTGGGATTTTGAAGAGCCGCCACCAAAAACCCGCCGAAAAAACCCTGGTCGCTCTTTTGGGGCGGGTGGTGGTGGTGGTGGTGGGGTATTATTGACTGTTGGCTGAGGGGCAAAATAGGAAGTTTTATGGAATGCAACTGTTGGGCTAGGAGCAGGTTGGTGGTGGGGGTAGGTCGACATGGCCAGAGGGAAATCCGGTATTGGGTCACGATAGTGCCTCGACTCGGCTCTACGGCCTCGGATGGTAGCAGTTCCGAGGGTGTCTGAACGACCTTTCTTCGTATACATGCTCCTAGCCGATTTGCTGCTGCTCTTACGTGACAAGGCAGGAGCGCGGGAACTGCTGGGGACGGTTCTATTGTAAGGTAGTTCGCGCATCGGGGGTGAGTGGTTGCGTCGGGGGCCTACGGGAACACAAGGGGTGGGAGCTGCGTCGATGTCATCGTAATGAAACCCGTTGTAATGAACGAAATCTTCCAACCCACCTCGATTGTCAGTCAATGGCAGTGAGGGGTGGTGGTGGGATCCGTAATCAAAGCTGGCGGACCGTCGCTCCCGATACTGCCCTGGTCGACCACCAGCTATCATTTGATTAAAGTCAACGCTGGAGGAGCCACTGCTTCGACTGCTGGCTTTAGTGCCGACCCTGTTTGTTCGATGAGAAGGCTGTCGATCTGCAGCGTTTAGAGCGCGTTGAGCATCATACACCTTGCTGCGGGTACTCATACCTTCTCCAGCCCCACGAACACTGTCAATTCTCCGAAGACCAGGATGGTAGTTGGAACTGCTGTTACTTCGACGACCACGAGTAGATTGGCTAGAGTAGCGACCAACATTATCCTCTGAATGGGCTTCAACATCAGAAGAGATAGAAGAAGAGAAGGTGTGGCCCCGAGGTCGGCTAGCCCTCATAGAAGAGTAGCGTGTATATATGGTGTGAGCTTCTTGATCCAGGCTCGAACTGAACATACGGGGACTGTCAAGTGGGTCACAAACAGAGAACTGGTCCAGGGACAAAAGCATGTTATCCACCACTGACGTACGTGTAACATGCTTGGGGGACAGGGCTAGGTCATGGGTATCATGATCATCATCATCATCATCTCCGGAGTCCGGGTGGCCATGGTCATCAACATGGGTGAGATCGTCTAGAAATGTTTCGCGGAGAGGGGGCCGCAGGACCAAATCTCCCTTTCGCACGTTTCTATATTTGTTGCTCTGAGACGGTGGTGTACGCGGAGGTGACTCGCCAGAGTACGTGTTGTACATTTGGGGAGCTCTAGAGGAAGAGGAATATGTAGGCATGGCTCGTTTCGGAGCTCTTGGGTATTCCAAAGTCATATGGTTTGTGTTTCTGGGTGCGGGTCCGGGTTGCGAGAGTTGCAGGCATAAGCATACAGTCAATCCATGCCAGCAAATTTCCAAGTTACGTTACTTGCAGAAAGAAAGAGCCCAAGCCAGCGATTGGAAGCTGTTTGGAGCTATTTTTGGCCCTCTTCTCCAACGCAGGCTTCTTTGTCAAATCCTGGGACCCAGTGCTTTACTCAAAGAAAAAGCGAAGCGTCCTTTACAAAAAGAGAATAAAATCGCCGAGGCAAATTGATGGTAGTCAAGTGAGAGAATGCGGTCGCATTGTTCCGTGTCTAGATGTACGAAAATGGACTGCAAAGATTTCAGGTGTTTGAAGCAATCCCCAGGCAAGGGCGGAGAGGAGAAGCAATGATGCAGGCGTAGCGGAGGCAGAGCGGCTTATAATTCGAAGAGGGATGCTACAACAACGGAGACCTTTGACACAGAGTGGAAACCTGCTAATTATTATTATTAACTAATGTCAGCAAATGCAGAATGGAAGCTTAGTGGACCCAATTGACCTCAAGCAGAGAGTAGAAACAAAAATAGAAATAAAGAGCAGAGGCTAATGGGGTTGGAATGAGGGAAGGGACGGAGGTGAGGCGATTGTTTGAGGGCAAAAGAGAGAAAGGCCTCACTTTTCGCGGGTTGCAGGTATATAATTTGTTGGCGAGAACCCGCAGCTACATGTACGGACTATGTAGGTCTAGGTTGCCGAGCGAGTGAGATGTCTGGTTGCGGCTGGACGAGTGGACGGAGGAAGCGGAGTGAGGAGGCGGTAGAACAAGCAACAAAGGAAGCGCTGGTCCGCGAATGGTCGCTAGATACGTTGGCTGGCAAAAGATATCCCTTGGAGCAACGGGATGGCCCCTCTCCCAAGGGCCCACAGAAAGCGAAGCACGGATAAAAAAAAAGGAGTATGGAGCGGGTTGGTTCCTTCAATGCTCTGGAAGCATTGACAGATAACTCAGGCTGAGGTTAGGTTAATTCAGGTAAGGGAAGGGTGAGGTGGTGGTTCTCTCGAGCAAGAAGAACAAAAAGAGTTGTGGTTGGGTTGGTTGGGAGAAGAAGTCAATCAATAATAATAATAATGGGCTGGGTAAGCCGCAAGACAGACACTCCAACAAACCATTATTAATATTGAAGTGAAGAACCGTTTTAGCAAAGACGATCCGATCATCGATCCACGGCCAAGGGTCAGAGTCAGCCAGGTTCCACGTTGGGGCAGGGGACCGCAAGCGTGTATGAGACTTGAGAGACTCGAGAGTCGAGAGGAGGCTGGAGCCAGATCGTTGTGGAGAGTCGGGTCGTTTGACTCGTTGGAGCAGAAGAACAGCAGCAGAAGTGTGCCAGAACTTCCACGAAGAGGAGAAGAAGCCGGTGTTTCAGCCGCGTTGCGAACTGGCGACGAGACGAAGAAGAGAAAACACTACGCCGGACGGGGACTAGCGCGATTCCGACCAGGTCGTGGCAGGGCTTGGCCAGGCTTGGCAGTCAGGTGAATCAGGGGTTGGCCAATCACAGCTCGGAATCAGCAATCCATACGCCTGGGAAACTTATGCGGGAGATGAGAGACTAGGCTGCTTCTAGTTAGTCCCTTTACTAACCCCAAGCTCCACCACGGGTCCCAGACAAAAAGTACTCCGTACTACTACTGTTCATGTACTGCGTATGTACTCCGTACATGTACATGTAAGTACCAGTCTAACCACCAACAGCATCAAGGGCAAGAGGGCAACGACGTTGTTCCACACCAGTCAGTCACCGACCACACCCTACAGTTGACAGTTGTCTGAACTTAACCCAGGCTGCTGTGGACGGAGCTATCACTCACTTACTGACTCCTGCTACAGGTTGTGCTAGCTAGGTAGCGTTGCAGATTCCAGGATATTTAATTATTTAGCTAATTGATTCCACGTCTATAGTTCCCCTCCATAAGCAAGTGTTCGTCCTTGGTGTCCCATATTCTTTTGCCTCTGCAAAAACCTCTCTGCAAAAACATCTCTCCAGAGATACCTTACCTTACCTACCTAAGTACCCAGCCATTCTCTGCGAATATGGTGCGTGCTGCTACTGCACTGCACTGCCAACACCTCTCCTTCTGCCCCTGCTGCTCCTCCTGCTAGAAGTGGAGCACATCCATGGATCTGACAGAGATGATAGAATAATAATCAGCAGCGTTGCAACATCACTACCCTGCCCGGAGTTTACCCTCCATGCATGCCCAGCCGTGTATGCATGGACACGTAGATACGCAGTATGTGTGCCCAGGCCATATCCATACAAGGATTCCACCAGCAGTTGCATGGAGTAATGCAATTCGCCATCAAGAAATACGGAGCATTTATCTCCCTTCCGTCTTTAGCCCCCTTTGCCCAGGACTGGAAATCTCCCGATAAGTCTCCTATCCATGTATGGAGTACGGAGTACATCCATGGTAATATGCTAATTACGCATTTATTCAAGGTAATCTGCACATTTAAGACGTTGGGTAATAATTTCCCCTTAGTTCTCACTTCTTCCTTTTTGAATATTTCTTATCTATTCCCTCCTCTCCCCTTTCCTCCCTTCAAAATAAACCAAATCTTTCGCAATTCACTACTTAAATGAATTTGTTTAACCAGCAACCGTATAGATGGCAATCTGCCCTCCCGCTTGATTGAGCTGAGAAATCCCGCTGCATCTTGAGAAATTCTCCGTCCAGGGACTACGTATGTAGCCTTTTTTTAAGAAGAAAAAGGAAGACGAAGGAAAGGCCCAGGGAAAAAAAACAACCCACCGAGTAGAATACGTGGATAGATGATAGATCCTTCTCGACTTTTACATAAATTTAATTAAGTACGGTAGTGCGCTGCTGCTAACTCTTACATGATGTAGCCTCTTTCCCACCATGGCGGCTGGTGCTGGTATGGTATCTAGATGAATTCATATCTAAGGATAACGTTATGCATTTCGTTTACATATAAATGTGTGTATCAACAGGGTTATATAGCCCAGTTTATTCTCCCGTTCTCGAGGGAAATAGAGTGGAATGGAAGCATGACACCTTTTTTCCTTCCGGGTCTACATCTAACATTCTACATTCAACATATTCTTTACAAGCGTGCCATTTCATGACATCATTGAAAGAGTACATAACATATTGGCCAGGGAAAGAAGAAGACTAAGGAAAAAAAGAAGAGTCGATGAACAAGACGCGAGAAACGCTGGAGGTTCAACTATCTGCTGACTAGTTGTGATTGATGCGATTGGGCTTCGAAAGACTTTGCAGCCGGGCTGGAATGAGATAAATGAGAAATGGCAATATGAATGACGCTCCAAATTATTCCGTTCTCTCCTTCTATCTCTTTTACTGAGACAAAAATTAGTAGATATATCAAAGCCTGTCAATGCCATGACGGGGAAAGGTTTTTTTCTCTCAAGTAGCCCCGTATACTAACCACAAGAGATCAATCAGCATGAACACGATAGAGCGCCAAATTCGTTGTTATATCTTCTTTCTCAAACTGCAAATTACTCCGTTCAGCTGAAGCTGGTTAAATATTTTTATACGATAAAACATAACATGTTTACTCCATCGCGGCTAATAGGCGACCTTCCCAACCCCCGCATCAAGCCTCCAGTCAATGACAAACTCCATCGCGCTAAGCAGCGCCACAGGCGCGAGTTAACCAAAACTCCATCGTGGCCCAATTCAATCAGCAAAACAACAATCAAACAACAATCAATCCCCCGACGCTACCCTAAACGAGGGCTGCTGTTATATCAACCTCCTTCCTTCTCTTCCATCCGAATCTCTACCTAACCAGCCCTCCTATACACCCCCCCCCGCCACTGTCAGAACCTCCATCACGAGGGGCCATGAACCCTCATATCTCAGTACCCCGGCAGCATGCCGGCCCAGCCAACTTCGGCAGCACAGCTCCGCGGCGGGAATCGTCGATACGCATGCCCAGATTTTTCCGGAGGTGAGAAATTCTTTCTCTTCTTCGTTTATCTATCCGTCGTGCTATAAATTGGTGGTTTTATGATCCCTAGCAGGGGATTGTCTCAATTCAAGGATGGAAACCGGAAAAAACGAAATGAAAAACAGAGCTATTCAACGGCAAACAACATGTCACCGGATGCGGGGAACTATACCTACCTAACGCTAACGGCATCTATATATTCTATAAACAGGCTATTTAAATTCCCGCAGATGGATTTTGAAATGGCGATTTGGGAAATGACGTCGCTGCTTATTGCGCCTAAAAAGGTGTTCAAGTCTATGTATTATCATGTCAGTATTTTTATACGTTTCTTTTTCTTTATACGCCCTCGCTGCTGCTGGGGGTCTATCTCCTTCCTCTTCCGATTCATAATATACAAAACATAATACAGCTAACAGGAGACCTCACTGGCACAGAAACGTAAATATACCTATCTATATCCTAACATATTACCTTCGAACAAACTAACCTAGGCAAAACCGCATCCAGAAACGAAAAACACTTGGCACCGCCCCGATCCCTCCTTTACATACCTACTTTCCTTCTTCCTCCTCCTCACAGCCCTTGCCTGGGGTCTAGCATACACCCCATCATTCGGCGCCATAGTCCGATTATCCTTCCTCTTCATATTCGTCCACTTCATCGGCTCCTCGCTCCTCGTCTCGACACTAACATATTTCTTCATTGGCCGGCTGTTTGGACCAGGTGGGCCGGCCGCGAGAATCGGCGAGTGGAGGGGTGGCAGGACTATACTGGGGAGGACGAGACGGCGCGGCGCGGCGGGCGGGTTATTTGCGCAACCTGGTGAGAAGGAGCAGGTTGAGTTTGGATATTGTTTTGATGTGCGTGCCTGCATTCCATTGCGTTCCATCCTCATCTTCCCCACGCATTTCTTTTTGTTTTGTTGGTTGGTTGGCTCCTTCGGGACGTTAATTTTGGTTTAACACAACTGTCGGAGTTTTAGGTATCGAACCGCGCCTTCTTCCCACTCTACCTCCATCTATACGTTCTGCAGTTCCTCCTGCTTCCAATCCTCACACGGAAAAACTCCTCCGCCTCAGAATCATCACCCAGTACACTTGCCACGGTCCTCGGAAACACACTGTACCTCTCCGCGCTGACATATTACACCTACATCACTTTCCTGGGTTATAACGCCCTGCCATTTCTCCACCATACGGAACTATTACTTGCTCCCATTCTTATTCTTGCAGCACTGTGGCTGGTTAGTCTGATAGTGGGCTGGGGGATAGTGGGGCAGGGGATGGCTGTGGAAGGGTTGTTTTGGGGGGTATGAAAGCGTTTTAATGAACCATTCTTGACAAACGATGTGCCATGAAAATGGGGCCGGTCTGTGATGGGCTTTTTTTGGTGGGATTGAACAAGAAGAAGAAAAAGAAGAAGGAGAAGGAGAAGAAGAGAACATGAAGAATGCGTACCTCGAAAGAAAAGAAGGGATGGGTGCAAGAGAGGCAAAGCATTGAACTATGAAAGTATGAATATCTGCCGCTGGTGCGTGCCCAAACTAACGGATACTAGTGTTTCCATATCTCCCTGGGTGTGCGATAGATGCATGTACCCTATGCTATGTATTCCCATTTATTCCTAATAGGGGATCAAGTACTTACTACTTGCTTTTGTGCGTTTTAAATTTTCTATTATTTAGCTGGGTTGGCGGCGTATCTTTCTTGGTTTTTGATTTTGAAATTCTATTATTACATTACAAACCCAACTAGCCCGGCGGCTATGGTCATATATTCTTGTCTTATTGTTTTGTCGAATAGATCAAGTCGGAACTACAGTGTAGCAACTGACCTCAATTGACTTTCTTATGGTCAACTAATACACACCTGTGCATCGCCACTAGATGATGGCTACTTCGTTGCACAGGAGGCTACCACGGAGCTTGGAAAACTTCGTTAACCAAACCCCAAGGGGCTCTTGGGAAGCGTCAAGTTAGGCGCAGTGGGTATGTAGCTGAGTCCCTAACGACTCCACGTCACCATAATTCGTCGTTGGGGCGAAAAAACCACAACGGAAAATTAAGTGAGGGCTTCGAAGAAGATATTGCAGACAGGAAGAGAGAGGAGAGGAAAAGTCTAATAATGACGACGTAGGGTTCGCAATGATCCCTCCTGACCAAAAAATATATATATTCAATTTGGCTACATTTGTCCCCTCTCGCCCTTCCCGGCCCTTCCCCCTATTCTCCTTTTTCATATAATCCCAGTATAAAAGGGTGGCTGCTATGGGGGCGGAAGTTTTTCGTATGAATGAAAGCTCGCATTTCCCATCCATAGTTAACTATATCACCAAAAACCAATAACGGAAAAATGCTAGCCAAGAAAAATATAACCATGATGATTAAAAGGCAACAGTGGAACCGCGCCTCGAACGGAGTGAGATGAGTGATAAACCAACCTCCAGGAAAACGATGGAAAATCTTTCATTTGTGATGTGTATTTAAATTTAGAATAATTGGAGGAAAAGAAGCCGGAAGGAGAATAAAAATGTAAACCGGAACGGGGATAGAAGATTTAACACAGCACAACCAAAGGATGCAAGATAACGTCATAAAAGCTCTCTGACGCAGCAAAGCGTGCAGGGAAGCATGAGATGTATGAAAGATTCCAAAAGCAAAAAAAAAAAAAAAAAAAAAAAAAAAAAAAAAAAAAAAAAAAGAGGGGAGTTGGGGTGGGAAACTAGAGAACGCGGCGTATAATCATTTCTTCTTCGGTGCTCCCTTCTTCGCCGCAGGACCCAGCGCAGCAGCCCGCAACTTCGCTTCCCTCTCCTTCGCCTCGGTCCTCTCGCGCTCCCGCTCCTCCCGCTCCTCCCTTTCAGCCTCCTTGCGTGCCCTCTCCGCCTCACGACGCTCTTTGACAAGAGCCAGGCGGGCGAGATCAGCACGGGCCTCCTCAGTCTTGCCCTCCGCGTGCAGCTTCATATACCGCTCGCGCGCCTGCTGGGCCTGGATAGCTTCCCTCTCCCTACGGGAGAGTTGTGACATATCGCCCGATCTAGCCGCGGTGGATGTAGCTTCCCCGTTGGCCACGGGTCCCTTTGCGGCTTGCGAGCGCGATTTGGCGGTATGGTTGGGATTAGCGGGCATGTCGTCGTCGTCGTCGCCGTCGTCGTCGTCTTCATCCTCGTCATCGGATGGGGGCAGGTCGCCCGGGGTGACTTTGTTCTTTTTGGCAATGGCGGCCTCCTTTCGAGCTCTGGCGGCTGCTTTGCGTTCTTCGCGGGTCATCTCTTGTGCAGTGGTAGAGTGGCTAGGGCCTGATTCCCCTCCGGATTCTTCCTCAGATTCCTCTTCGGAACCCTCTTCTGAATCTTCTGATGACTCATCTACTATATCGTTTGGGTCCTAGAAAGATGATGCCACCTTAGCTAGGACTCTCATGGAAACTTTGAGCGGGGTTGGGTGTAAATGACTCAAAAAGGTTGAATTTCGCAAGGGAAGGAAAGAGAATATGTGTACCCGCCACATGCCCATAGGGTTTCCATCTTTATCTAAAGGTTGGAGATTACGGCTGAAGTGTTTACCTCCTAAATAAGCAGTGAAAATAGAGTCAATGTCATGTCCAACAAGTTATGTATGGGCAGGTAGTTTGGAGAGCAAAATATATATACCTCCGCGAGTTGGTTTACTAAATTTTCCTCCACGTCCACGGGGAGCCATATTGACAATTTATGATAGATTGCACGGAAGGAGTACGATAGAGATAGTAGAGTAAATGGAGGGGGGTGGGTGCCCGTGAAGAATGTTGGTGGACAACTAAGAGCGAGCGAGCGAGCGAGGGGTAGAAAATGAGGCGCTTGGATTGAATGCGGGGCGTTTTGGGAGCAATTTGAGGGGGGGAATTTGGCTGGGTGAAAAGCTGGAATACAGGTTTTGAGTATAGTTAACTATAGGAGTTGGATCGGCAATATCCTCTCACGAGTATTCTCAGCTTCGAATAGCAAAGCAAGAGGATATGTCTATAGCTATAGAGAGTAGAAGAAAAATGGAGACAGTTTTGTCGTTTGTCGACGGAACTTTGAGCTTCATAAAATAATATTAATAAGTCTTCACAGTTTGAACATGAGCTTTGGGTTCAATTTAGGCTCAACCATACTCTCAACTTATTCGCACCCCATTTAAAATACCCCCATACTCTAACTAATCCACCCTCACTCCTGGATGAAGTTGTACACAAGAGACTTGCTTGTAGCGTAGCGATATGTAGGTTTTTAATGGGGGCTACCATGTCTCTAATTACTTAAGGAAATATTAATTGATTTCAAAGTATTTAAAACGATGGGCATATCTTGTAATGGGGCTTGTTCAACGATTCCAGCATCAGAGCCACGCCAAACATCAGCACCATTCTGACTCAGCAAGACGCGCGCGCATGTGACCTCCTACCTCGTTCGTCTTATTCCCATATAGTTACTTACTTTTGTACTCTGTAGATCTTTTCACGACTTCACCACAAAGTGTCAAGAAGAACGAACGTGTCTGAGCGTGAAATGGAGGACGGAGATTTGCAGCTTTCTATGAGCTTGCTCTGTTGTCACCTTCCTCTGAACACCATGTTTCAATTCATTTTTCTATTTTACTTCACGAACGCCGTATCTATCTAGTCCCTCGCTCAATGCTCATATCAAACATATAAACATCTCGTGTTTTATTATAAACAAAGATTTGAGCCACGAAACAGCAAAAGGGCATAGGGAAATGGAAACAATTTACACCGCCGTCGTACTTGAAAAAGTGAACTGCAAACATGGTTTTGTGTGTGCGAATGAAACAATAAAAGAGAACTCTGTCTAATCCTATACGTGAAACACATTATTTCTCACAATGAAAGAATCGACTAATATTCCTCAGACCTTCGCCAGCAATACTGGTCCCGTAACTGAAAGCCTTGCACAAATCAATACCGTGGCCCCTACAAGCATCGAAGCGCCGCCAAAAATTTGTGCATACAAATAGTCGCCATTATTCATTTGAATTAAAGCCCCTGCAATTGGCGATCCCGTTAATGAAGCGAAGCTCACAACACTTAGAATCATACCGAATCGGATACCGGTCTTTTTCAGATCAGGGGACAAAGATGACAAGCTTGCAGGAAACAATGACTGGATTCCTGCTGCGAAGAATCCATATAAAACGGAGAATGCATCCACCCCGTTGATGTCTTTAATCCCTGTCCAGCCGAATATCAAGATACTTGAGATAAGGCTAAACGGGATTAGAGCATTGAATGGCCCTGTATAGTAGTCTGATACGAAATTCGGTATAAGTCGGCCAATAAATCCGACGCCGTTCAGCATTAACAAAAGATCTATCGACTTCTCTCGTGAAAGGCCGATGACATTGCGGCCAAAGCTACTGAGGTAGAAAAATGCAACGTATAGTCCCCAGAAATTGAGGAACATAGCAATTGCAAACAAAGAGTACTTCGTCTCCTTAAAGGCAGACCAGTCGAAAAATGGCCCGCTCTTTCGAGGTGGGATTCGTGGTCGCAGCCATATGAAGCAGGGAGTCAACGTGGCGAGAGTGAAGAAGCCCAAAACTCGGATCGTCCAGGCATATCCGATGCGAGGGAGCAATGACAATACGATTGCGGGGAAAATGAGGCCTCCAGTCGCAGAGCCGGTGGCACCGATTGCCAGAGCAATTGCTCGCTTGGAAGTGAAATATGTTGGCATTAATGCTATTGTAGGGCAGAAAAGCAGCCCGCACCCGAGACCCATGCACAGCCCTTGGGAAAGGAAAAGTTGCCAATATGTCGTGGTTAGTGAAGTCATGAAGATTCCAATAATTAGAATTGTCGCGCCTGCCGTCCACACAACCTTGAAATATCCAGCGTCGGTTGCACGGCCTGAGAAGGTTCCGATGAAGAAGAGAAGGAATATCTGAATGCTTCCCACCCAAGATATATCTGATGGCACCCGCTGCAGGGATGTCGTGTAGTGTTGTTGGAACACACCGAAGCTATTGATATACCCCCAGGTATTGCAAATGACCAGATGGCTCAAACCCGCTTGGAGCCAGGCATTGAAGCCTCCGTCAGGTGGGGGGCCAGGATCCATTCCGGAGTCTTTTGTCCGAACGAGCGAAAGTGTCTTCTCTAACACACCCTCTTGATAGATCGGACCTGCGACAGTCTGCGTGGGGGATAGCCTGGGCGAGACGCACGTAATTGGAAGGTCGTCATCGTACTCGGGACTAGAGAAGGCCTGTGACGCAATATTGGGGCCGGGCGCTTTTTCGAGGTCCGTTGGGGGACTAATGTCTGGGTGGGATTTCTCCATCCTCTCGAGACTCCTGAGGGTTTGAATGACTGGTCTGTTACCGCTTTATATTCATCAATATCGGACTGCGTGGAAAGAATCGTCAAGGACTTGGACTATTTCGGACAAGACTCTTTGTCCCTGGACGAAAAGTCTGGATGCTTTTTCAAGGCCAAACAAGGCGACTCAGGTGCAAATTAATAAATGATCGCGTCCCGGTACATGAGCTTAGGAACTCGACTTTTCTTCTTGAGGATAACGATATCGATTCAGGATTACTCCTCCTCTGAGGTGTTATACTAATGCTTATATTAATTATGCTTGTGGGGGAATCTATGACTCAATTATTAACTGTTAGGGGATTCCAAGCAGATATAGCCCATAGGCAAAGCTTCTGTGGAAATGGGACCTGAGGACGGAACACACCTTAAAAGGAATGTCTATTGAAAGAGAGAACCAAAGGGCGCACACGAAAATGGTCAATCGAACGCGCAACGTAGGGGAGCGGCTCCCTGGGCTGTTGATATGAATTTTCTATCCAAAAGGGCCCGAGGCTGGTGGAATTGTATTGTCTGTCTGACCGCTGCAGCAAAACGGGGCGATGATAAAAGAAGAGAAAAAGAAAGAAAGAAAGAAAACAGAGGTAAAGAGTGCGGATTTTGTCTATGTCTATATGTCCCTACAACACTATTGCATATGCGAAGGTTTCGATATTCAACAATGGAAGATATCTAATATTAAGAGCAGGACGGAAGGGAGGAATATATTAATAGTAACGGCTTCCTAATCAGCTCCAGCAAGGGGGGAAATATCCTCGCTTCTGAGATACTAGGAGAGAAGGAGCGAGCAAGAACGAGCCCTTCGACAACAGTCATAAAAACCAGAAGCCGAAAATTGGAATCTTTATCTTTATTTTTTATTTTACCTTTAAAGACAGACACTAAAAAACGGGAAAAAGTCTTCTTCGTAGGTTAACGGTTCTTCTCCTCACGACTTTGTCCTAGTTCGCCGCCGCCGCCCTCGGTGGCAACAGTGGGGGGGGTTTTTGGGTTTTCCATGAGAAAATGAGTAATTACCCCGCGGTAACAATTTGAGAGCAGATTGATAAATCAATCTCATCTTCGCAGTTTGGAAAATCCAATTTCTTCGCGAACATTTCTGCCTCATTATTATTATTATTATTATTATTATTATTGCATATCTATACTTCTGCACTCTACGGGGGGAGAGGGGAGGAGGGGGGGGGTTTGGCTTGCTGTGAATGCGGCTAAAACGTGGAGATATGTCGGCTGTAGGGCGCAAACCAGCCACCACCCAATCCAATCCCATTCCATGCAGGCGGCTGCAGGCTCGCTTAGCGTTTCCATCAGGCCGGCCGAGGAGCAAGCATCGGCAATCCCAACAACGAAACCCCCACTCGGCTCAAGCGGCAAATCAATAATCATGAGACATCGCACATATTTTGAACCGCATATTATTAGGAATTCTCCGATGTGAGGGAACCGAGCACGCCTCGTGGGCCAGGTAGCAGCAAGCAATAGCTAATCTGTTCCAGACTCCGTACAATGAGCGACTATCAGATTTGAACAAAGGAGGAATCGATGGACCTTTTTAATAGGTTAATTCAACATAAAAAAGGAAATGGGGTTGCCTTCGTCGTATATTCCCTGTTTCTCAAATTGTTGATATGAAATATGATAAGCAACGCTATGTATATTATATTACGGCAGAAATTACGCGAAGATTCATTCCGATGCCTCCAGCAAAAACCGTCAAGGCAATAAAATGCATTGAACGTCAGCGAAAATAAAGAGAAGAAGTGAAGAAAAAAAGAAGCAGTAGCAGCAGCAGCAAAGTGTCAAACCTTCATCCCATCACACGCTCCCAAACCGTCCTAAGAGACCCTGTCGATATTCCCAACCGAGCCGGCAACTGGGGGTATAAATTCCATACCACGAAACCATTAACAATCATAGCAATCAACGTGAGCGAAGCTTTTGTTGTCTTGCTTTTTCTCTGGGAATCTTTCCACTGCAGACACCAACGGGTGTTAGCTGTTAGCTATATTATTTGGGACTGGCTTCGCGGGTTAGACGTACCTGTATGTTCCAATCTGACCAGGTAGGGAAGAGGCTCCTGTACCACATATACGCCTGGGACCATGGATACGTGGTTGGATTCCACTTGTTGCCTTGGACATACCACTAGTTGGGGGAGAGGGAGGGGGGGGGGGGGGTTTGTTAGCTACTGTGCCTGCCAGGGATAGGGGATCAAGCAAAGAAAGTGGAACAAGACCTAGATATGGGCCGGAGAGAGAGAGAACGTGATAGCGGAAGACAAGCGAGTGCAACTTACTGACTGACAACCCCCAGAATTGAAAACAGTCTTGTCTAAGTCATCCTGAACCTTATAAGCGTACAATTCTTCTGCCTCCCGCTTGAGCTCGACAATCGCTGCTTTTCCCTCGAATACCGGCTTCAGAATGCGCAGTGCATAATTTACGGTGCTGTGGACATTTTTTAATAGTTAGTCGTTAGCGAAAGATTCCCTTGGCCATCCCCTTTTCTCCCATAGGTTGTATTTAACTAATGAAATAGAACGAGGATGGGAGTACTCACTTCTCCGATGCCATGATCGCAGACGAGTGTCCCGTCGCCGAATTGGGACCCAACAACATGAAAAAGTTGGGAAACCCGCTGAGAGCACAACTGTTGTAAGCTGTCGGTCCTGGATATTTAGACCAGTGCTCCTTGACACTCAATCCATCTCGCCCGACAATATCCAATCCGTGCATGTAGTTGGTGGCCTCAAAACCGGTGGCCAACACGATAACGTCGGCTGCAACAAGGCCCTTATCAGTCAATATGCCTTCGGGGAGAATTTCCAATGGTTTCTCATTGGTTAATGTAATATTTCCTGCGTTCAGAGACTCAAGGTAGCCGCTGCTATCAAAAATTCGACGCTGGGAAGGAAAGGGGTGATATGTTAGTCCATATTCTTCTGGCATGGGAAGCTCCGTGGGAAATCCCTAATGGATTAAATCAATAAACTAAACTTACCTTACATCCGACTTCGAAGTCAGGAATAAGAAGATCGTGGTATTTTGCCGGGGCTCTTTTGCGCATATATCGTTCTGCCATTGCACGCCTCTGCTTTCGTATCTCCGCACCTTTCTTTGTCATTTTAAACGCGGACCAGTTGCGCTCAGCCAGCAAGAATATCAGGAATCGCTGCATTCGCATCGTGAGTGGGATATAACGGAATATCCACTTGACCCATGATGAATAGGAGGGGTTTATGATCGGGACAATCCAGTGCTTTGATCTGACTATTTGCGTGAGATGCTTCACATCGGGCAAAATCGAGGGGACGATTTGCGATCCGGTGCCTGGAACCATTTTTCACATCAATACTTTAGCTACCTAGAAATTTTAGAGAAATTATTTTGATGTACTCACAGCCATTACCAAGAACAATCACATTCTTATCTTTCAGGTCCAGAGAGGAATCCCACTCCGCTGAGTGAAAGATACGGCCCATGAACTTCTCGCTACCGGGGATATCGCATTTACGAGGCACAACAAGAACTCCGACAGCGGTGAAGAGTATGTGACACGTGTGGGTATACTCTTCTCCCGTCGTTAGGTCTCGGAGATACACCGTCCAAAGGCTCGACTTTTCATCCCATTCACACCGGAGGGCTTCAGTTGAGAAGGCCATTTTGTCCCTTAGACAATATCTGTCTCGGACACGGTCATGGTATGCTTTGATTTCTTCACCGGGAGCCAAAAACTTTCCCCAGTCGGGATTCAACTCGAAGGAGAAGCTGTATAGCCCAGACGGGATGTCGCATGCAATCCCTAGAGGAACAGTTAGCTTCTCCTTTTCCCCCCGTTCTTTTTTTTGAGGAATGGGATCCTCCCTCGAGGAAGACATCGATATACGATTCCCGACTTACCGGGATATTTGTTTGCCCACCATGTCCCGCCGCTATCTGGATGGCGCTCAAAAAACCGGATGTCATCGAAGTTATACCATCGCGTCAACGTCGCTCCCAAGGCAATGCCTGAGGCACCAGCGCCAATACAGGCCACTCGAGAGTATGACGAGCCATCCTTGTGGGTGGACTTGCTTGCTGGCATTTTTGGTTTGTTTGATCTTTTCTACGTAGGTGTCAATGTTGAGGCGTGCTTTCTGGTGATGGATGTGCCCGCCCTCGATTTTAGAGAGAAAGAAGCACAGCATAAATAAATAAGGCATTAAAGCCGGCGAAGGCGCCGAGGTAAATAAGTATTTTAGGTAACTAACTATTTAGGTAAATCACCACGATGAATCTTTAATAATGTTCTAACCACGTTCAACTAACGATGTAGTTACCCAGTAGATATATATAAATAATTGATAACAGCTGCCGAGGGCTAAGCTTGATATGCCGATTATTTTTTCATTTAATAACATTATTAAGCTAATATAGAGACTTAAAACTTGCGACTAGGTTAAAATAATCATCATCATTAAATATATCCGCTTAAAGTGATGGAAATATATCACAGGAATCAGAAAAGTCGACCTCATCAATTGCATAAAATATAATCTATATTCTCTAATAAAAAAGAGTGTTCTTAGTAGTTACTCTGTACTGCTAATCCTCAGCATATGCCATTTTATCACCATGTTCAAGTTTTAACAGTGATAAAATAAATAATTGGGCAAACTTTCTCAGTCACCGCAGCTTGATGCAAAGATGGACGGTTAATGAATGAACCAGTGTAAACCGCAACCACTATACATAAGTTAACTACACCTCCAACTCGAATAAATATCACCGCGAATCCCTTCGTTGCCGCTAGCAGAACACTGCACAGCTACAGCCTTACAGCTACCGTATCCACACAGAAAAGCAAAACTATCTGATACTCATCTATCCTACTCATGCTTACTCCAAGTGTCCCGAACCTAGCTCTTGACCAAGTGGAGAAAAAAGCCCCTTTATGCCCGAAGCTATACGAGTTCCCGGCGCTCCTCCGGTGCCTCTACAAACTCTACCGTGCCGACCTAAACTAGGGCCAGAGGAGCCGTTGTATACTTATACAATCCTCCCCGTCCGCACCAAAGCAGATCTCACCGCAGCCATCGCCCTGATAAAAACCTACACGGCGGGTCTGGGCGTTGATCTCTCCTATCAAGACTTCGAGTCGGAAATGGCCCGCATGCCCGGCAGCTATGCACCGCCGTCCGGAGAATTACTTATCGCTGTAGGGGGCAATAATGAGAAGAAGAAGAAAGATAATGAAGCCCAGGCCCAAGATGACCACACACCGCATGTTGTTCTGGGCTGCATCGCACTCCGCGAACTCCATGTACACATGCACAAGGATATGAACAGTGGCTGTGAAAAAGTGCCGCTACAGGCCCAAGCCAACCGTGCGACCTCCCGGTCACACACTCATCCTGACCCTGTCAGCAGCAACGCCGATGACGACGGTAAGGCTCCGGCCAATATTGATACTAAACCCGGCTCTAAATACTGCGAGCTGAAGCGGTTATATGTCACGCCGGCGGCACGGGGGCTTGGGGTGGGCAAGGCGCTGGTAAACGCCATGCTTGCCGTTGCCCGTCAGATCGGATATGAAGAGGTAAGACTTGATACGCTGCCGGATATGCGCGAGGCGATTGCGATGTATAGGGGTATGGGCTTTGGGGTGGTTGAGAAGTATTATGAGACGGCGATTGAAGGCACGGTATTTTTGGGGTTGAGGCTCTGAGATAGGGAGCGAGTGGGGCCGTGGGTATATATATATATATATATATGTGTATGTATGTAACATGACATGGTTCGAGATACCATTCTTTCCGTTGATGACTGGTTATGTTTACATTTTTTCCTTATTGACTGCCGGAGTGGGGTAGTTAGATACTATTAGCTACATAGATTTGACTGAGAGAATATTGAGGACAGACGACTTAATTGCCTCGTTTGGAGTGATGTGATATAGTTATCAAAGTGCCACTGTCCCCCATTCGCACCTCATGGGTTCCTTTTATTTTCCCACCTCCACTCCTTGGTCCCTACTAATTAAGAGATATACGTAAGTACATTCCTCCATGCCTTTTCTAAGTACTTTTGCGTATTAAAAAAGTGTCAAAAAACGGCAGCCCGAATGGCAGACAGACACAAAAAATCCGCAAGAGCTTTCAAAACATGAAGTCCAAAACAAAGACGGACTTTTTGAAACTTGAGATCTGAAAGTAGGTGTGATGTTCACAGGTGTGTGATGGGTAAGTGGAGAATGCATGAGAAAGCATCTGATCCAAGGAACCCATGCACTCAACGCCTCATCTACCTGTAGGATCGTGCGACGCTTCAAACTGAAGCTGAAAACATTGGGGAGAACATAACTCCCTGACAAAAAATACGCAAATGCCCAAATACCACACATGGAAGATCGAAAAGGTAAACATAAACAAAGTCTTGGTCCTGACACAATTAGAATATCATACGTGCGAACCGTCTTTTGGATCCCGGCTGAAACGCCGCGGCTATCCTTTGTGTGTTGGCAGGGCACTTCCGCCGCCACACTGCCTGGGTCGCTAGCAGTTTGTTTTGCTATTCAACATGGCGATTGTAGCGATGACATCTGCCGGTTCCAGTAAGTGCCAACTTGCAAGTGTCTGTTTCGAACTGGCACCTACAGTGACCGAGAAAACCCGGTCCCGCGGGAGGTTACTGTTTACGAGCGCACGGAACATATCTATTAAAATACGTAGATTAGCACGTTGTACTCTATTGGTGATTTCAAACGGCTGGGCGGCCGATCGGCAGACGAACCTTCATCAGTAAAATCGTCACCCAGACACAAAACGAAATCCGGATCCTGCCCTAGCCCGTATTTATATTCTTCTACCAGACGAGTCGCGATGGATCCTTTGTTGACAAATGTCGGCCGGACCTCTAGATTTGCTTTGCCAGATAAGACCTCGACCGGCCAGCGTTTCACCACAGTATTTTCAAGGTGTTTCCTGCATTCTGTGGCCTGGAAGGTGCCGTACTCTGGATCAGCTCGACGATAATGCCAAGTTAAAGCGACCCTCTTTCGCTCGATGAAGGAGCCTTGCGTGCGTTCGGTGTAGTGTTGGAAAATCTCAAGCACTTCTTTCTGCCATCCCATGTTGGACTTTTCAGTCAGGTTCTCCCAATCATCGCTTCGGGGTTGCCGGATGAAACACCCGTGCTCGGCACTCAAGCCAAGTTCGGAGATATGGCCCATCCACTCATCGAGGAAGGCTTGGTCCCGACCACTAATAATCCAAACGGAATTCTTCGGATCGGCAGCAAGGGTTTTGATCGTACGGAGTACACGATCCGATGGGATTGCAGCCTGAGGATCCTTCACAATAGGCGTTAAGGTGCCATCGTAGTCAAACATAAACAAGCGTCTGCGAGATTTTCGATACTGTGAAAGAAGCTTGGCTTTATCAAGGGCTGGGGTAGCAATGGACTGATCGAAGGAGGAAAGGTTGGTTAGGAGGCGTTTGAGGTATTTGTCGGACCATGTGGTGATTGTGTGCGTTGTAACGTGTTTATAGAGCTGCTTGTGTTGAGCTTCTCGTTCCTCTGGTGTCATCAACAGTGCTTGATTAATGGCGTCGGCTACGCCTCCCAGATCCCAAGGGTTGATATGGATAGCGCTACTTAGACTGGCTGCTGTGCCGGAGAATTCAGAAAGAATTAACGGGCCGTGATTTTCGTGCTGGCAGACGACGTATTCTAGGCTGGTCGTGTTCATGCCGTCACGGACACTGGTGATTAGACCAATGTCTGCAGCTCGTAAAAGGGCAAAATATTCCTGTGGCACGAGATACTGAGAATAATGCTGAACAGGGGAGAAGCTAAGCGATCCGAATCTGCCGTTGATAGTGGAAACAAGATGTGACATTTGACTTGAAATCTTTGCTTCGGATTCCTCCTTCTCCTCTTCCACGCTTGTCGGGCTCGTTACCTGTATCAAAACAACTTTGTTGCGCCACTGAGGGTACCGTTCAAGAAATGTTTCAAAAGCCATCAATTTTTGCGTCACCCCGCGTACAGAATCTAACCTGTCTCTTCCAATAATAATTCTCTTTCCGTGGTACTGTTTTTTGATGCTGCTAACGATGTCAGAAATGCCTGGTTCGTCGTAGGCCAGCTTCCGTACTCCATCTACGTCAATCCCGATGGGGAAAACATCAACGGCAACATGAGCTCCGTACGCATCAATGCCTGCATAATTTGAATCAAAACCCAAGATTCTTGTGCAGCAAGAAGCAAAGTGACGAGAGTACGAAAATATCTGGAAACCTATCATGTTTGCACCCAGAACGCCAGTCAGTATATCTTTCCTTTTGGAAAGACATCTCATAAACTCGCTGCTCGGAAACGGCGTGTGAAGGAAAAAGCCAATGTAGATGTTGGGAACCATTTGACGTAGAATGCTTGGAAGAAGGAACAAATGGTAGTCGTGGATCCAAATTATATCACCGGGAGTGTAGGTCTCCAGAATGCGATCTGCGAAAAGTTGGTTGAGTCTCACGTAGTCTGCCCACCATTTCCGCTCAGACCAGCCATCGGTCGTGGCGCGTTGTTTGTAATGGAGATCAGGATATAGCTCTCTCTCAGGATAACGCCTCCATCTCCCCTGGTCTTTCAGATACAGGTTTTGATCGGGGTATTCTTGTTCGTCAGTTAACCAAATGGGGAGAACCCTTCCGAATTTGCTATTGCGAAGTTGATCTTGAAGGCGAATGCGATCCTGTTCCGTTACGCATATTCCATCTTGAACGGCATAGCTCGGTTTTTCGGAGGGATCGATTGGGACAGGGGCGGATGCTTTATTTAGAGGGGTAGGGGTAGTGTCAGCGGGAAGTGGCTGTCCAGGAGGAGTCGCATGCCGGGTTTCTGGGCCGTGAATTTGTTCGATTTCACCCGTCCATCCTACCATGGTGTGATTCCATGGCGTTTTTGAAGAGGCGAGGTAGCAGAATGAATCAAACAAGGCTGAGGTTCCTGGTCGGTGTTTGAGTTCCTGAATTCGCAAGTAAGCTAGAGAACGAAGGAACGGAACAAATATGCTCGCATAGAAGCCTCATACCCAATCATGACCAGGGCGTATTCTGAGTTTGTACGGAATACAAAATGCGGCACTGATGATTCTACCCGTCAAATGTAGACCCGGATGTCCCTCTTGGGGTTCTATTGACGGCGCTGAAGGTTTTGAAGAATCAATCAGGCTTAAACGACGTAGGAGGTCCGCCCCGGACTTTACGCCTTTAGCAGCTTCTGTTGGGCTCTCGGGAAACCTTGCAGGCTTCTCATTCAGTAGATTGGACACAAGTTCGGCATCATTATTTCCAACGTGATTCGGAAGGCGTCTCACGTCGGTAGGGGGGGTGCCATCAACAGCTGTCCTGTCGGGGGACCCGACATCATTGGACGCCATGGCGGGGGAGGGATCTGAGCAAATAGCGTAAGAAGAGCTAGGTAGGGTGCTGTCTAAATATATCTCTGTTAACTTTCTACCGGATATAAAAAGCTCCGCATATCGCGGGGTCATAATAAAATACTAATAATTATTTGGCAAAAAAAAAAAAAAAAAAAAAAAAGGAAACAAAAGGAAAATAAGAAGCAAGCATACCGAATAGATGATAATTCCAGCAAGGTTATCTAGGATTAAATAAAGCTAGAGGCTAATGGATATAAACTTCCCAGATCATCTGGCGAAGTAGAGCTTATAAATAAAAGGACTCGAGGTTAAAAACCGGGCAGCCGTGGCAAGAGGAGTGGGGTGGGCTGATAACAGTGATAAGTGGAATACAGTCATGGCCAAGAGATATCAATGGAAGCAGATGTATGATGGTGTCAACACTGCGGAGAAAGGTGGATTCAGGCCCAATTCGAACCTGTTGGAGAACTGCAACCGGGGGCCAACGAATCGAGTTGTAGCATCTAGATGAAGTTCGAAGCGGACAGAAAGGTCGATGATGCGCCTGGTGCGGCTAATCCGCGGCTACGTCATGGCCCCAGGCAACGTCCTCGCTCTGGCCTACAAAGTTACTGCAGCCAGCGGAATTGGCCCCAACCCAGCCCAGCTTCCCACTGGAGACCATTATTGTTGAGCCACAAGTATCTTAGTAATTGCTCTTGGCGTCGGGAATCTGCTCCGTTTCAAGGGAACGAAAGTGTTCTGGTTAACTAGCTATATCGCCTTTTACGCTCCTCTTTGTCGCTGTGAACTGGACAAGCTCGGTCTTCCAAACTGACTACTGATTCGCTACCCCCGTTTCGAATTTTCGAATTGCAAGGCTGAGTTGACGCGGACATTGCGCTGGGCTTCGGAGAAGAACGAATAGAAGTCAAGTAACTATAGCAAACCGTCCAATGCCGTATGGGGGGAAGTGTGTGATGACTAATCAGCTACAACGCTATCCAGGTTGATATTCGAGAAAAAAAGTTTCTATCCTTCGACTCGGGCTTTATTCCATGCGACATCTCACAATTCAAGTTGCTTCTGGTCATAGGAGCTGGTTGAATACGGGACCCCATATGCTCCCCAGACCCATCGAGCTAACTGGTGCCGAATTCCATTTTATTCCCGTACCCTTCATCTTTCGAACGGGATGGTCTCCATATATTTGATAGCGCGATCCGGGGAGCCCTGCATACGATGCCTCATTGACAGAGAACTCTCTCAAAGCGCATGGATATTTCTACGAGCCCGTCGACAGTACCATAATGCCTCTGGTCGCTGGCGGCCAAGCAACCAGCTCGAGGTGGACCCCAATAGCCTCGAGGAGACCATACAAAGACATCGATCCGCCAACCGCCAGACGTTCACTATTCGAAAGATACCCTCTCGAACAAATGATTTTAAGGCGACAATTCGCCCGGAATTTATCCAATCCCGTTGGAAATTGGAGGCAGATCAGTCGGATCAGCCTGCTCGTCAAGTAGACCTTTCCTGGATTCTCGACCCCGGCGAAGGCGCCGGCTCCAAATTTGACGTCCATTCCTTCCAGGCCCGACGCTACGCTGCAGTCGACCCGACAAGACCCAATATTTCATGGACGAAGTATGCACCTTACAGCCCAACGACAGAGCTCCCCTGGCTCAATTATGTGGAAAAGTCCGGCGGCGGAGCTGTCGCATGCCTAGGCGAGGAAATTAGAGCCTTTGAAAAATACATGCTGCCAACTCCTGGGGAGAGGGATGCGGTTGAAAAAGCTCAAAATGACGCAATTGCATCCTTACAATCTGTTGAAGCGGACCTACCAATTCTCATCGGTTCGCATAGAACTGGAATGGCCCTACCCCACTCCTCTGTCGACCTGTTTGTTCCCATCAAAGATCTTGAGAGGGCAGAAGATGGCCGAGGTCCAAGTGCCAATCGGCCAAAGATGGTGCAAGCCCGACTCAAACGCCTACGTGAGATGGAGCGTATACTGAAAAATTCTCAGACCCTTTCCAATGTTACGCTGAGGAGAGATAGAGACCCAACCTTATCAGCAATTCACGTTGCTACGGGCCTACCGGTCCAATTCCAATGCGGACCCAGTCCACCCGCCTCCCTGGATTTCATACTCAACTACCGCGCAGAATTCCCGACCCTCCGCGCTTTATTCATAGTCCTACGAATGCTACTCGAAACGCGGGGTCTGCTTGGTGGAACTGATGGCGGAATGCATCCTTATCTCTTGACCATGATGATTGTTGCAGCTCTCAAGATTCGAGAGGGCAAATACCAACGCGACAACGTGGGCGGCCAATTGTTGCACGTCCTTGAAGTTTATATGGATACAGATTTTACTAGATACGGCGTTTCTGTCGAGCCGCCTGGTCTGTTCGACAAATGGCTAAGTCTAAGGGAAGTAAGGAACAAGGACGGGAGGGTGATTCGCTTACACCACCCTTATTTAAGGGGTCAGCGTAGCATCAGCAAACGTTCCTTTTCACCCCCAAGCTATGGGATGCTGAGCCTGCAAGATCCCTCTGATTTCATGAATGACGTGGGGTGGACGTGTTTTGTTATGCCCGAAGTGAAGCAGGTGTTTAAAGCTACACATGCTGACCTCAAAGCTCGAATAAAATCCGAGGAAAAACCCAGTACTGCTCAACAGCAAGATAAAGACGCCATCCTTGGAAGCAATGAGAACAAACCTAGCGAAAGCTTCCTTAGTTTCGCCCTGGGCGCAAACTACCACGACTTCGAAAGATTCCGCGATCACATCCTCATCGACGCATCTCTGACAGGAGGAGATGTCCGTACCGACGAAATAAATCGCAATTTCGAACCGCGCCCTCGCCCGCTCGGGGAAGTGAGGACACACATGGAAAGTTGGCGCACAGAAGGTGAAGAAGGCCACGTTCCTCGTTGAGGGATGACTTTCCAGCATCTCTGTATTAGCAAATTCAATCATATACCTCCTGGCACTGGATAGATACCCTTTCAGACTTATGACAACTCCCTCATCTTTGAGACTGGGTCTTTGGCTTGGATATCCCGGCTCGAACATAGCTCATTTAATTGAAAGATACACCAAGCTGTATAGAAGTAGTAGTTAGAATCTTTAATACCAATGTCTCATTACAGCTAGCGCCCACTTCCTTCTAATGCTTTAGTTTCATCCTCACTGTTTCCATCTAAATTTCTCCCACCCACCTTATTCAACACTCCTAAGAGTGCGCATGAAGCTTTTCTAGTAATAGGGTCATGTATATCGGCATCTCTGAAGCGGTATCCTCTTCTTCCCTCTTCGTGGCCCTGCATGACGTACCAACATATCGCCCCTGAAATCTGAGCATCTAGTATGGATATTTCGGTCGATTGAATATAGGGGGGGCAGGGGTCTATGATCTATCTATACATGCGCAAATATCCTAACTTCGCAGAAAAACACAAAGGCTCCAAGGAAAGCAACAAGATGAGCAAAAAAGGCAAACCAAACCCAGTTAGAAATCTTTAATCTAATATACAGTTTCCACCCCATCGACCAACTCTCTTACATGTTCACTTCAATCACTCAGTCAACTCCACATCCCACCTCTCAACCATCTTCTCCCCGCCTCTCCCCTGTACCCAATTTTCCAACCATCTCCGCTCTGCCGCCTCCGCCTCACCTTCCTTCAACCCAACCGAAACATCCACCCCACCCCTCTCCTCCACGGCAATCCTAACCTCCTCCGCACTCATTCCCTCAACCCCTCCATTCTTCACAATCAACCAATCATCCACCTCAAGATATCTCATCCACTTCCTCAACCTCGGCCGATAGATCTGATTAACAATCTCTGCCACGAGAAACCCAGGCAAAAAAGAACTACCAGTCACCTCATGGCCCCGACTTAGCCTGAAAACCGCACACGCCCTCAAAACACCCGCCGTCGACGCATGGTTAATCAGCCCGTTAATATCCACCGTATGCGGTATCGCCGTGGCATTAAGTAGCACATCTAGATTCGCAATGGCAGTCGCTTTTACAGTATCAATGCCATTCGCACCATTGGCAGCAGCAGCAGCAGCAGCAGCAGCGGCAGCCCCATCCACCTCCGCCGCCCTCACAGCCTTCTCCTTCCGCAAACACGCCTTAACCCGCTCCTTCTCCACCTGCCGCGGCACCCGACACGTAAACGGCGTAACCACGCTGCCCAGCGCCAGCACGACAAACGGCGTCATCTCCCCGCACAGCAGCAAGATGAGTGAGAACGGAATCATGCGGCGCACGTCGTACGCCGCGCGGCGGATGAGCTGGAACTCGCTGCGAGAAACTTTCTTCGCGTACATGCGCAGCATGGCGGCGTTGTTGATGTGTTTGACGGCGTAGACGGTCGGGGGAGGGGAGGTGGGGAGGAGTAGCGAGAGGCCTAGGCGGCTGCGGAGCGGGAGGGCGGCGCGGTAGTTATAGTAAACGTTTTTAAGGCCGGTTTTGTAGAAGGAGAGGTAGGCTTTGCCGAGGGCGAAGTAGTATTTTGCCTTGTTGGCGCTGGGGTCTTTTTCGGGGAGGGAAAGGGGGGCTGGGAGGGTGGATAATGGGGGGTTTAGGGGGGAGGTTATGGTGACAGGTTGGACGGTGGTGGTAGCTGTGGTGGAGGTGGAGGTGGTAGGAGGTGGTTTCGGGCGGCCCGGTGTACTAGAGAAATGGGCAATGCCGGCTCCATTGTTGCTGAGAAGGGGGAGGAGGTAGCTGTGTTGTATTCTTTGGCGGTAGAAGGTGTGTGTTGGCTGCGGAAGACTACGAGCGGAGCGGGGTCCCGCTGGGAGGACGGCTATAGTGGCGCAAAGGCCACGGCATGAATTGGCTAGCATCGCATGGATGAAAGACAAAAAGGCAAAAGAGACGAGTTGGTAATGAACGAAAGGGGAGGCGGAATATTTCTTATCTCGATATTATTGCAATCGAGTTGGTGATAAAAATCTTGGGGAAAATGGTGTGCTTAGTAATCGACGGGTGAGATTGCTTGAAATACTACTGCAGAACTACCTAAAAAACCGAAATTGAACGGAGTTTTGTCCGCTGAGATTTCATTTTACATTAAAAGCTACCAGCAATAAACAGAAGCCAAACGACCGACTTGTGGCTTCAAGGGTAGGGGATGGGAAATCAAACAAAAAAGCCAATGATTAGATAACTAAACTTTGCTTAACTCAATGAGCCAGAGGAGATATTGCACGAATTTCAGCAAGAGTAGATGGAGAACTACTGAAGGATGAAAAGAAAAACGAGGGTAAAAACAATGATGCGAGAGGCAGAACAACATTAAAAAACCCAGAGAGTAAAACTCAATCGCCCACAACAAGCCATCACTGCCTGTTACTGTCATTCTCAACTCTCTTCATTTCAGGTGCATGACTGCCGTCCTATGCGCAGCTACCGCCCACCCAGCGGCAAGACATCATCAGGTAACAGATACATCATCCTCATACCTCAATGCTATCCATTCTCATCAAGTCCAAACACGGACCAATACGTTTGCTCGCCCTGTTAAACATCCGAAAAAAAAAAAAAAAAAAAAAAACAAACTGCCATAAACTGCAGAGAAATTGAGGAAGGAAAGCGTGAGGGACGAGAGGAAAAAATTGCATTAAGATCCACCTGGCTTAGTTTTAAGTTTTTCTGCTTTTTCATATCGTAAAAAATTGAAATGGGAAACGAAATGGAAAGGAAGAGAAAAATGTTAGAGAGGAGAAGCATCAGGCGAAGTACGCATGTAAAATATTCAAAAAGTAACCCGGCATCACGGGGAAACTTCATGTCCTGTCCGCCCTCTGAGCTTCGGGAGAAAACTCCTGATCGCTGGCATCAAGTATATCATATTCTTCATCAGTCAGGAAGTCGTCCTCAGTCGAGTTGCCATCAAGCGTGAGGCTCTCAACATCATCTGCCAGATCATGATTCACTTCAAGTTCGTTGGCTGCGGGAACTTTAGGAGAAACGGACTTTTCGATACTCGCTGAAGGGGATTCTGTCTCCAGTTTGGGGAATATCATTGCACTCTCAGACTGAGACTCCCCCTGGGAAACCTCAGCATCTCCGGCTTCGGTGCGCGATTCGACACTTGATTTCTCTGTTTCGACGGAGGACTGTTTATTATCTGCAGTCTGCTCTGGAAGAGTCTCCATCTCCTCGGCAGAGGCTCGGACGTCGATATCACACCATAGCTTGTGCCCAAAAGCACGTCCATCAGGTGTCTTGAGACGCCAGTATGAAATGGCCCGGCCCTCACGCCGAGGCGTCTTTAGTTCGATAGTAAAGTCAGCAAAGGCACCTGCGGGAGTGTGTATCGTAAGCTCTTGCGATTCCATCGCAGACACAAGGTTGCTGAGACTGGATGGATGATTGGTGTCGACGTTGAACATGCTATCCCCTCCAACAAAGCGAACGCTGCATCCCTTTGGCCAGGGGGCAGGCCCAGGATTGTACAGGGTCCATGTTTGAGTAATGGTCTTGTTGGGAGCAAGACGCGACCCATCAGGAATGGTGTCTCGAACGAAGAGAGCGCGAAGTTCAGAAGGCGTGGAGCTTAGTTCTGCTCTGCTGGTCATAGCATCATCTTTAACGCTTGGCTGTGCAGTGGTGGAATCTGCCTCACTGGCAGCGTCACTGTCAGCCACACTGGCAGCGTCCGTGTCTGCCTTCTCTGTCTGAACCTGAGTTGCAGCATTCGATTTCGAAGGTGCAACAGTCTCAGTTGAAGTGGATTTCGTAACTGGTTGATCACCGAGAGTAACAGCACTCTCCCCACCACCGCCGGTGTTATTGAAGGTAGTGACAGTTGCATTGCGAACAGGCGTCTTGAACTTAATCAAAGGATGTGTGCGGTTGTGAGTATTGTCAGGATGGGCTTCACAATTTCCACAGAAATCTGTGTCATGGCAAACGGCACACTTATAGCGGATTCCTCTGATATAAACAGGCTTAGAAGACACAGAGCAAAGAGGACCATCACAGATAACGCCGTAGTGAGTTGGGCGGTAATCGTGTGGCTCGGGAATCGGTGTATAGAGTGGAGCAAAGCGGTGACCAGGGTGGAATTCCGGAGCATTCATGATACACTTTGAACAATAATCCCAGTCCGGACAATTAAGACACTTATGGCGGACGCCTTTGATAGACTGCATGGCATTAGAACCGTCGAATTCAACAATAAGGCAGTTTGGGGCGCAAAAGCTCACCTTGTTGCATCCATCGCAGATTGCAGCGTGGTAACGACCACGCCCAGGCTGGCAGGTCGACATGACGAGGCCCTTCGACTGGAACTCGCCATCTACAATAAGGGAGAAGGAATGTCCAGGATGGTGACCATGCCTGTCCTCAAGAAGACAAGTGAAGCAGAGGTCATAGTCTGGGCAATCCTGGCAGGTAACAAGTTCTTTCTCATTGAAGTCTTTGATACAACGTTAGCGAGGCATGCGACCAAAAAAGGAACATTCCGCCAAATACCTCTGAAGCATGCATTGCAGGTCCGCGCTCTAACCCTCATCTCGTCAACCTCCATAGAAGTGATGTGTTTTTCCGTATTGTTGAGCTCCTCTTGAGGTTCTGGCTCGTGGTACTTTCGCGGGGCAATAGTCTCGGTAACGCTATAATTAATTCTTCCGTCGTTGACGGTCCGTTTGATTAACCAATGCCCCTCCCCTGGGCAGAGGACACCTGCATCGATGCATTTCTGGCATAGATCATAATCCCCATCATCACAGATACTGCAATGATAGTGGGCATCAGGCACACGTTCGCCACAGTGATTGCAGTCGATGCAAATGGGCGACAACTGATTGAGATTGGGACCAGCAGCACACATATCTCCAGCTGTGGACACGGGATTTGATTGCACGAGGTCCGTATCTCGTTGGGGTTCTGCCTGGGGAGGTATCTGGTTGTCGACCCCAGCTGGGCTATCGTCTGGAACGCTCGGGAACATGGCAGGGTTTAAGGGAGGGGGTGGAGAAGATCCAGAAGCAGGATAATCATTCTGGTTGACGAACCCATCGGTCGGGACACGAAGAACGGTTTCGAGGTAGCTGCATCGCTGCTGGGGTTGTTCTTGCTGGGCATCTGTGCTCTGGGGAGGCACAGATAAGGGTTGAGGTTCAGGCGCTGGCTCTGGAGCCAGAGTTACCTTAATTCGAAGCTTCAATTTAGCTTTAGCTGCACGATACAGCTGCTTGTATACAGAAATATTCTCGCTGTCAAGGACTACGTAGGAGCCAGCACTATCCGAATAACGTTCGAGGGTGACGTTGGCATCGTCAGGGATAGTTAGCAGTTGGCGAACCTAGAGGAATTTGAGTCCAACATTAGTCATAAATTCAATAACATGAAATGCCCAGGTAGAATGAAAAAAAGAAAAGGGAAGGGAAGGGGGGGGAGAAATTGAATACCTTCTGTGGCAAGGAGGAAGCACCAAGCTCTCGCAAGGGTAGCTTGAAACGTCTCGTGTAGCCCTTGAAGAGGACTTTGATGGAAATCAGAGTTTCCGGGCCAACAGGAGCCGTCTGGGGGGGTTGGAACGGAGCAGCCATGATTTACGGCATATGGAGATGGATAAAGCTTTGAGGAGTGGTTGATGATGAGAGTTCAAAAAGCTGGGGGAAGCTGTAGATGAGGCTGATGTATGTAGCTGGGGGAACGGAGAGCCTTAGCGAGCTAAAGCCAACGGTTTGAACTAAATAATAAAGGAAGAAGAGGAACAACTGGCACAAAGAACTTAGCAAGTGGATAGGTGGAAGAAGCAAAGAGGAGAGAGCACGGAGAGGGAGATGGCAGAAGAAGAATATGAGGATGGAGGTTTAGCGAGGGTGAGGTGAGGTTGCGCGAGGAGAGGAGAGAAGAGGAGGAGAGAAAGGAAGGAAGGAGAGTTGAGTTGCCCAGCAAAGCCAAAGCCCGGCAATTGGCTGCTTGGCGGCTGCATCTGCCTGGGGACTACTCCGTACTTGGGGACTTGCTTGGGGACTGGCTGGAGTCGCGGCGGACGCTGCGGCGTGGTATTTGCCTCGTACTGGTATTATTATTATTATTATTCCTTGGAATTATCTCGCCCGCAATCTACACCGTACGGTACGCTGCGTAGTAGCTGCCTGTTGCCGCCCCTCTAGCCTTGTTGCGGTAACTATGGTATCATACGTATGGTAACTGTCCAACTCTGGCCAACCACGGTCGATTTGCCGCGCAAGTTGCATGATATCATTTTGTGATCATATGGACGTTCTGGGGCTGTATTTGACGACGCCCAGCCTGGCCAAAACATAATGTACTCACTACCCCATCTTTGGTGCTAGCGCGCAGCCAGAGCTTCTGTACAAGTACGGAGTACCTTGTTGCATCCTCACCGCCTTGGAATGATGCCGTGCAAGAGTCCTCACATGACACTGTTTTCTTTACAGCCTTGTTACAGTCAACGTCACAAATAATACGCCGATAATAATTAGGTTTCAATTCATTCATCATTTGCTCTGGAAAGGCAGACACCATATCAATATCATAGTAGGTATGAGCAAGGCTGGAACTCTTCTTGAACTGCGAACTCCCGTACAACCAAGTTTCTAACCCTTAGTTATCTCGTCATTCGGTCGGATCTCAAAGCCCGTTCATCTGTTGTTGCCAATTTTTGTGTTAAAGCAACCACTGCTTGACACCGCCATTCGTAGCTTGCGAATACTTAATCATCGGGATAATCCTCCCAGCTGAAGAAACTGGAAGCTACAGTGAGCAGAATTAGCCGAGAATACGGAGTACGGAGGTCGCTTTCAAAGTTTTGATTAGATCTATCACATGGAGGATTGATCTTTACGCTCTCCAGCGTAGGGGCCATGAACGGTCGAAAGTAGCAGGCGTTTTGAGCTACTTTCGGCCCTCATGGCATCGCGGATTGATCAGCCACACTAATTAACACTATAACTATCTAATCCGGAAGTCATCGATCGCCGCTTTTTGAGAACCCACGTACGTCCATTATTGGCCTCACCTTCTGCTCGCCTTCTCCTCGCGCGACTGCTCGCGAACCGCTCACCTTTTCCCAGTCACCTGCATTCCCCCCCAAATATGATGGCTCCCTGGATAGTCATGGCCTCACCATCACCATCATGTCCCTCCCCCCCTCGGGTTGCTGTTGGTCCTTTTCAAACCATTATTATACACATGTTACCAGTCCCTTCTCCTCCCCGTCCCATTTCCTTGCAGACAGCTAGTCTACTCCAGTCCCTCCCTAGAATCTCTTTTCTATCTACCTACATATCACAGACAGTCTCACACGCCCACTGAACGGTGTGACAGTTGGAAGACTCAGAGTGCTGAAAGCTGGCAGATCACACACGGCTGTTCTCTCTGATGTTTAGTATCCAGTCTCCATTTGTTCAGGCTGGCAGAAAACTGGCACATCCAGCATCTCTGCCTTAATCTTTAGATCCATACCACCTCAGTGCAACAGGATGAGATACCAGTAGATATCTTCAACCTTTTTGAATTCAGGTGTGAAGGTCTCATCATGTATTGTCATGAAGAGAAGATGCCCCAGAAGATTCAGAAGAGCACGAGCTGCTTATAATAGTGTAGGTACAGTGCTGTAGGGGTTCAACTTGAGTGACTTGGGGGCTTGTGGCACTTGAGGTGCGATTGCCATGCAAGGAAGAGTGCATAGTAGATTGCTATTAATTCCACCATCAGTACTATCCAGTGCTCTTTGATATCTATATCTATTTTACTTATAGTAATGAATATGATTTTCTTCATTGACTATCATAGCTGCTGCTCTCATGCTCAGATTTGTTGCTGAGACATCTGTAAACACTCTTATGAAGAGGGGTTTCATTGTCTTCAGAGCTGTTTCAGTAGCTTCATTCTCATTGAAGTTGATGTGGATGGCTTCAACTATCGGTGTGTGCCACAGTTCAATGGGGCATGGGTTGATAGTCTTGATGGGTTCGAGCTCTCCGGCATCAAACATTCTCTTTGAAACCTTGAGGAGGTACGGGTATCTTCTTCTGGAGCATGTAGTGCCTGACATGGCTCTCTGGAGTACTTTGTGCATTGGGTGTGTTTAGGAGAGGGTCTGCAGGTTCTAAAATGAGCAAATGGGCTACGTGCCAGCCCATTGCTATGGAATGAAAGTTGTGAGTGTCTCATGGCCTCAGTACCTTCTGATGCTCAATAGATGTAAGAAGCAAATTTAGATGGGAAAAGAGCAAGAATAAGATGATGATGATGCAATCAAACAGTAAACCTGTCACATAACAGGGATGGCAGGCTCATGATTCTCACTTTCCAACTTGAAAAGAGTGGCTAGTCTACATCTTGGGGAAGTAATTAGACTTAGCCATGTCAACTGAGTGTTCTGTTGGGCTGATGGAGCGTGCTTCTAGGCCAAAAAGTTCTAGGCTGGATGCGGGACTGGGCAGGGTCGAGACGACGGAAGGACTGAGGTCCGATGAGTCTGGCATAGGCGAGTGAGATGGAGCAATGCAGTCCCTATCTGGCACCCCGTGAGATTTCAGGTGATTTTTGCATGACTTGAAGAAGTGAGGGAAGTAAAAGTGGTTAACCAAGAACCGCGCCTTGCCTACCCAGTAGTTTCTAGATCTTTTTAGCCGAAGATTATACCAGTTTGTAGCCTGGTTGGTAGGCTTTAGAGAACTGTTGCCCGTCTCTTGTCTAAGGGGATATGATCTTGGAACTTTGAGGTTGCCTTCAGGCTGAGACAAGGAACGAGGAGGATGTCTTGACCCCTGTATAGGGTCAGGGTGTATAGATTCTTCACTTGGGGATATGGTGTGAGAAGTGATCAGTGAATCAGCAGCAATTGATGCACAGTGTGCACGCTCTTCAATGAGCATATGGGAGTAAGCTTCGCTAAGTGAGTTCCTTGTGTGTATGATGACAGGAAGGGTGTCCTTTGGATTCAAGCATATGACCAGTGGCGGGCATGACTGTAGGCAAGGAAGTTGAGCTCTTCATCTGTCCACTGATGGTAGTGTTGTCGCGTAGAGGTTACCCTGTCTGATAGCAAGAGCAAGAATTGAGAGGATTGTGTAGATCGGGTTGTTGGAGTCATATTTTCTTCTTGTTTATTTGCGGAGCGAAGCGAAGCAAATATATGATGAAAACCCTGGTCATTAAAAGTGGAGAATTTCCTTTTTGGGGTTCTTGGCGCGAATACAGCCCACTGATTGGTGTAGAATTAAGCGAAGCGCAATCCCGTGACATTGCACTATCATATCATCTACTCTGTACAGATTCTTGAATAGATAATGCATCTGATCAACTGCTTTTACTACAGTTACAGTTCTATCTCTTCTATTAATAAGCTGTAAAATCAATCTTGCAGAGTCTTCTGTTTTGAGCTTAGCTCTGCAATGTCTTTGTACACAGAGGCTCGTGTGCATTAAGATATTTTATGAGTGCCTTTGGCAAAGGGGTCAGTTTTTAGAAGCATGTGGCTGGGATTCAACCACTGTGCTTCAGCATGGTTTCAGTTAACAATCTGCAGGGGAGGACAGTCTGTAGTCTGTCATAGATTCTTGACAGAGGGATATTCATTCTGCTTTAAATTTCTTTTAGAGTCTTCTGAACCTCTTTGTTTTTCAACATGATCACTAGATTGTTGTTTGTCAGCTTCTTGAGTTGATAAGACTATCACTTGGCCGGGAAGCTTAGCTGTATATGCGTCGTCCAAAATGCTGTGTCCGAGCCCGGGCTCATAACCTGTTGAGCTTCTAGAGTTTTGATGTTGATGTGTGTGGTAGTGATCATGCATCCGAGTGTTCCCTAGCCATGATTGGTGGTTTTTAATCATTCAAGATATGGAACCAAATCTGCTACTGTGGATATCAGGGCAAATATAGAAGTATAGATGTGAAAGTTCAAGTTCAAAAATCCAGGAATCCAGAAATAGTAGCTGCTGATAGCTCAAAATAGCAGCAGGATAACAGGCGTGACTGACACGATTCCCACTTTTCAACATGAAAAGGGTGGCCTCGATATGGCTAATCTACATCTCGGGGAAGAAATAGAGGGATGGTGGGCCTTGCCCTTCATGAAGATATGGCGGGCTTCCCTCACGAAGAATAGGGGCAATAGATGGGAAATTTAATTCCCCCTCTTATCACGGACTTCCAGGCGTTGATGTGCACAATGTGTGTCGTGTGGTATTGGCAACCCTACCCATTCCCGAGGCTCAAGGGCGCGTTGATTATAGATTTGCATGCATATGCGTTCATTGAAATCAGTGTTAAAGCCTTCTCATTTCATGTCCACAGAAATGGTTTCACTCCATCTCTAGATGCTGTAACTAGCCGATAAATAAGCTACCGCCAATAATCTAGACTCACATCATATCTTTGGCTTTCTCTCCTCTCATTCAGGAACAGAGGCCTTTCTAGAAAATGGGACGGCCACTCATGTCAACAGGTAATTCTTTCCCAGACCCAAGGCATTTTGATATGCGCCGGTCAAATAGCCCGTACTTGCTCTCATGTACTCGACCAAAGTGTGTACTAGACCATGTTGCAACCTGCTCATGCAAGCAATCATCTAGAATATCGTTTCCTATGCCCAAATATCCAGCCACCATGGAGACCCACGCTTTCATTGAAGCCGCCCAGGAAGTGAACCCAGCATTGGTTTCCTCAACAACAGCAGCTCTGATGAGACTTTCAAGTAATGTCTGCTGGTGTGGGTATAAGATGTTGCTGTATTTGTCATTTGAGCAGTTGGAAGTGCAGCAGACTGCTTTGTTGCGTTCAATTCTGTTGTACTAAAATCAGGGAGACTGGCAAATGAGCTTGGAATCAAAAGTATTTGTTGAAAGCTCTCAAATAGATGGCTCGGGCAGTTGAAGGTCTTGCAAAAGTGGTCTACACGCTTGTAACCTTCATTTATCTGCTGCAGAGTGGCTTGTGGATCTGGAAGATCTGCCATAATTTCAGAGGCAGGGTTGCGGTTTGGAGAAGAAAAGTTTGTGGGTTGCCTTCTCAAAATCTTTGTCCTGGACCACCACCATAGGAAGCTGTTCATGTACAGTGAGCAGCAATGCATGGAGGTTTTTCTTTAGAAGTAAAGAGCTTACTCTAATCACTATGGGAACACCTAGATAACTCATGGCAGAAGGACCCCATGTGTAAATGCGGAGAGGTGAAAGGATATGACCAAGTTGTGATATTTCTGGATCTAGCTCATGATCTTGCCGGCGTCTTAGATACACAGGTAGTTAGCTGACTTGAGAGAAATGCTGGCCAGGGTGTAGTTACGGGTTTGTCTGGTGGTTTTTGCTGGGCAGAAATGACTGTGACAACGAGCGTTTTTGATTCTGGTTAGTTGGTTAGTTGGGTGCAGGCCATGTGGAATGGTTTTATATCCTAAACATTGGAAGGCCAGCCTTGTCAGAAACTAAGGTGGTTATTTAGTTAAATACGTGATCAAAACCCCATGTCATTGAACCCCCTACGGAGTGAAATTTTCTAAGAGTAAGGGTAACGAGACGTAGGGAGATCTAAAAAAAATCCATTTGACCCATCTGTCACTACGCATAGTATAGGCGACAACACATCAAGGGACGGCCAAAACAATGTGGCTGCAATTATTTAGCTTTCCCGAATACCTATTCTGTGGAAGTATTTGGAAACTCAATTGTGTACGGATATAGAAACGATATACAACAAGTAAAACGTATTGTAATTTGCCAGCATCGGCCTCTACTGCGTAGATTCTCCATAGTAACAGTATGTTTATTAACAGTGCTAGTCAACATACCTACGTATGGGAGACAATCACCAATACAGAATACGGAGTTGAAGAAAAGGCTCTGCTGAAAGATGCTATTTAAGTATATAAGCTTTCCCATATTTAGGTAACTAGAAGGAGCTAGGGATGAGCAATTTACTCTGTAGTGGAGAGTTCCCGTATATCATATACAACCTCGCGCTCTTCTCTTTGTCCAGCTCCACGACTCCGGCTGGCCCCACGGCTCTGTCCCTTCAGACGCACAGCTCCCTTCCCGCATTCCTGCTCGGTCCACAGCCGAACCTATCCAGTCCCTATAACCCTCGCCGTTTTGCTTCTCCTCCTTTATCCTCTTGACTATCGCCTTTCCAAGCTTCACCACACCTCTATTCCTATGTTCCCATGACGCCTCTCTCAAAAACTCCCTTCGAAATGCCCGATCTCTCTGAAATCTCCGTCTAACATCGTGGTCGATAAGAACCATGCCATCATAACAATTGGCTCGCTTAGCCTCCACACGGCGCCTATTCGCCCTAACTTCTCCCTTCCATTTCTTTGCCTGCTCCCCTGTCATCCTCCATAGGGAGTATATGTCAGGGCGTCTATAGGTTCTACTAGAACCAGCTGCACGGCATAGATTGATGAGGTCCAGCGAATAAGGTAAGTAATTCCCCCCGCCAGGAAGTTTTCGGAGGGTATTCATTTCGTCTGCCGTGTACATGTGTAGAGCCATTTCAATGGCTTCGCGGATGGAGAGGGTGAGAGAGTAGATGTCAAGTTTGGGGCCGATGACGCCAGAAGAGAAACGATCGACGGCTTCCTGATTGTGTGAGAACTCAAAGTTAGAACAGATTTCACCGTTTTCTTTCCCCTTTCTTTCCTCTTTTGCTTTTATGTGTTAGATTACAGGACAGTTGTTGTATTACCGGAGGTAAAAATTCCACTGTCCCTTCCAGCGGATAGGCTTTCTTATAGGCCCGAACATCATCGTTGGGGATGGTGTATGCCAGTCCTAGGTACATGTTAACTAGCCAGGTCATGTTATATCTACAAGATTCAGGGCTTTATGCTTACCGAAATCACTAAGATAGCAGGTCGGGTATAGCTCCTCACTATTCGGCGACGGGACTGCGCCTAGTAGAACTGGCGGGGCCAACGTATTATCTTAGTTACGAGGCGTATTGAGGGGGAGAACAGTTAGGAAAGCGTAAATTGGCCTTGCTTCTCAAAGACAGAGATGCGATGACTTACTGTTTCCCGGCTTTACATCCTTATGTATGATTTCCTCCCAATCAGGCTTTCGCATGGGCCCTTCATGGCCATGTGCACAGTAAAGCAGAGCAGTAGCTATTTCATGGAATAGATGCCATAGAAATGCTTCGGGCAATAGGAGCCTTGGTTGATCAGCAACTGTTAGCTCCTTGCGAATGTTTCTTGAGAAGAAAAGGAAACAGATCTATCATCGATTGAGCTCAAGCCGGCCCAACAGAGGCGAGGGCTGACAAAATAGCCAAGAAGAGAAGAAATGCCTACTTATATTCCATGTAATGGGTATAAAGGTTAGACAACGACCCCCCTTCATAGTACTCATAAAGAATACGAAATGTACGATTATGCGCAATCAACTCAGGGGGCTGCGGATCGAGGTCAATCCAATCATATACCTTGACAACATTCGGGCAACCGGTGGCATTAACTCTGCGTGTGAGATTTCCTTCAGAGCAGTAATCATGCCAGAACTGGTCATTTTGCGTATCCTTGACAGCGAACCTGATAGGGTCCTGGGTAGTGTATCATCAGCCAACCACTCCATAACAATTCGCCCATAAGCCCGGCTCGGGAAGAGACCAGAGGGAAGACGACAGCGAAGGATATGAGTAGAGGGAACATCGAGATAGTACGACGACGGCAAACGGGAAAACCATACCCTATTCCCAAACGGATACCACTCCCAGCACTGCACATATCCAAACCCGCCCTCGCCCAGTTCCCCCATATAAATCCACTGATTCTCTTCGCTAGGAAGCCCCTGATACTTCCACCGCAAGTCACACCCATACTCATCCTCCTCATATTCGCTAACATACGCCTCAACCTCCGTCAGGTGCACGAACTTCCTAAGCTGCCTCCTAAACTCATCTGCATACTCCCATTCGCTGTCCAGACCCAAGTCGTTTCTAGTTAATTCCTCCTCGTAATATCTGATTGCATCCGGGCCTGGTATCTGGAACCATTCGTTGCCGGGTTTGTATGCTTTTTGGAACCGCCTATGGAAGCCTGGTGGGGTACGATGGTGATGCTGATCTTGTTCGTCTTCTGGCTGGTTTTGCTGATGGGATCGGCGTTGTAGGGAAAGGCTAGGAGTGAATTGGAAGCTTGGATGAGGGAAGAGGAGGCTAATCTCTTCTCTTGCTGAATTTTTGGGGTTGGCTTTGCTGTCCACTGAAGGGCCCTGGGAAGGTTCCCGGCCTTTCACCATCATGTATGCTCAATCGCACGGCGGGGTTTTGTATAATAAAAGGCAGGATGTAAACCCAATTTGAGTGCCCGCTTTGCTGTTATTGGTTAGTTGTCTGTTTGCTTGGAGGGGTTTCGTTTTGGCACCACCCAGCTTCTAAGATGCGAGGAGATGTAGATTATAAAGTAAATCCTAGCTTTGTGGATTATAGACATTGACATATCAAATGGAAAGCAGTTATAGTCTATATATAGCAGGTAATTGTTCAAGAGAAAATGTATTCATTAAGTGCAAAAAGGGTAACGTGAGGTACGACCAGCTCTAAAAGGGCAGGATTTAGAACCAGCAGACTTTGAGAAACAAGGAAAAGTTTGATGGCTAGGTGTCTTTGTTCCAAAAAATGACACAAAGCTTTTTAAGAAAGCGAACAAACGACATGTGCAATTGAATCAATCGAATTCTGGAGCACTCGAGATTCCAAAAGAAGGGAATCCCGAAAAAAGAATCATATTAAAAATAGGACATCTTGCTCGCAAGGGAAAGGAAGGAAAACATATTCATACACACAGGGGAACTGTAATGACGTTGTAGATGAACGTAGGAGCCGCGTGAACTGCTTGAAAGGTAATAGGGACATCGTGATAGAATTTATGTCGTGGCTCCAGCTGCGGAACTCCTCTTCGCCCGTTTTGGGGCGTCTTCCTTTTTCTTCCTCGACCGACCACCACTGCCACCTTTGGGTCGATAGCCTCCATCCTCGTCTCGCTTTCGCTTTCCACGGCCTCCTCCACCCCCAGATCCCCCACCAGTCGCCGGAACGTCAATTAATATACCATCTTCGTCGTATATATCTTCATCTTTTCGCGTGTGGGTACTCGCTCGCTTCGAACTACGTGGATTGTTAGAACGGGGAGGGGGTTTTTCAGATACCGCATCAGCATCTTGCAGAAAGACTTGCGGTTGATGTTTCCTCAACCAATTTATCACGGAAACTGGATTCCGGATAGCAGCTTCCCTGTCCCTACTCGCAGCTGAGGCAGATTTCCCTGCTGGCCTAGGTTCTCCAGCGGAAGCGGCGTCGAGCGCTGCGGCATACTCAGTTTCATGCTCTGGACTTAGAAACCCGAGCGTTGAATCCATGTCGCATTTCATGGCGGGGTGATCCCCATGAATACTTGAGGTAGTATGTGGGACTTTTAATAACGAGGAGTATTGCACTGCGGGAGCGAAATTCTCGCTTTGAAGGAGAGACTCCTCCAGGCGGCGACATTGGTCGGCCTTTATTTCTCCTGCTAATAGCCTCTCTTTCGCAACCCGGAGTGCCTCGCGAGCAGTTTCCGTGTCGTAGGATTCTTGCTGATAGTGCTCAGGTTCTGGGGAGTGTAGTCTGGGTAACTTGGAGCCTGGGAGGTCGAGGTTATATCGGAGCTCGGGGGGGACGCGTATACTGTTGTTGAGCTCTAAAAGCGCTTCCAGGAGTTGACTATGGAACGGAATCGTATAAGTAAAGGCTTTTAACGTTTCTAAAGGATTTGTCATTTAGGATTGCGTACTCATTCTGTTCCTTAAGTCGCTTTGAGAGGTCGCGAATCCTCAGTTCCTCCTTGAACAAAGTATTGCTCTTTTTCATAGCGTGTTCAAAGCAGATCTTTTGCTTCGCATACTTTCTCCTATATCACACAGTTAGTAGACTCGTACTCGATAATCCGAAGATACGATGAACTGACTTGAAAGACTTATACGTGGTCTGGTGGGTCAGAGGTGGCGCATCGGGCAAGCTCCTCTCCGGCGAAGGAGAGGCAGGCTCAGGGGATGCCATGGCAAAGGTTGGAGTCGTTTGCGCAATGAGAATGTTTCTAGTTCACGCGATTGAGAGTATGGTTGAGCGTATATGAAAATGACAGGGCAGGGCACAATGCGGAATGGATGAGAAGTTGAGACTTGGGAGCCGATGATCGAGGTTGGTTTCCCTTTAGGTCACTGCGGAACGCCGTAAAATTTTCTCTGCCGCGAAAAAAATCCCCACTCTGTGCGGAGGAAGAAACTCTACTGTGTCCATCGCATGATTATCTCGGACATTTCTACAGATTCTACTATTCATGTATTGGGGATTTCTAAGTGATTAAACCAATACAATCTTAGTCTTTTTATAAATTGTCTATAATCCATCTCCGGAAAAATGCCCGGTATCAAGGAGGCCTCTCCCTCGGGTTCTCCCCCAGCGTCTCGTAAACGGAAGCTAGACGAAGGTCCGGCTCTTGAAATCGATTTATCTGCACCAGAGCCTCCGTCGAAGAAGGCACTTAGAAAGGCGAAAAAGAAGGGAGCAGCAGCGCAAACCACTGAACAATCAACCACACCCCCAGCTACAAAACCCAAATCCCCGGAACCTGCCGACAAGCCGTCGAAGCGGTCTAGCTACGGAGTTTGGATAGGCAATCTACCCTTCAATGTGAAGAAGGACGACGTCAGGGTATTCTTTACCAGTTCAGGCTCCTTGAAAAATGAGGAGATCACGCGGATACATTTGCCCGAGGGCATAAAACAAAATGGCAAACCTCAAAACAAGGGGTTCGCCTACGTGGATTTCACCACCCAGAAGGCAATGGAGGCTGCAATTGCGATGAGTGAACAGCTGATTAGTGGTCGTCGGGCATTGGTTAAGAATGCGAACAACTTTGTGGGAAGGCCCGACAAGCCAAAGGACGAGGCTGCTGGAAATAAGACTTCCAACTCCACCGTGCATGCTCCCTCCAAGCGGGTGTTTGTTGGCAATCTTGGATTTGATGTGACCAAGGAGATTTTGGAAGAACACTTCAAACCATGCGGGGTTATTGAGAGCATACAAGTTGCGACGTTTCAGGATACTGGCAAGTGCAAGGGCTACGCGTGGGTTGAGTTTGAGAGTATTGACGCGGCAGAAGCTGCGATGAGGGGGTTCGTGCATGTTCCGGAAGAAGAAGAAGATGATGATGATCATGACGATGACGATGATGAGAAAAACACGGACAGCTCAAATGAAGTTGGGGGATCCCGTGGCGAGGAATCCCAAAGTAAAGCGAAGGCCAAAAACAAGAAACCTACGACGAAGAGGGTATGGGTTAATCGAATTATGGGCCGCCCGCTACGGATGGAGTTTGCGGAAGACAAGGCAACCCGGTATAAAAAGCGGTTTGGAAAAGATGGAACGTCGAAGGATAAGTTCGCCACAGAATCCGGAGGCGAGGAGCAAGTCAGGCACAATGGTATCGAACCTCCTGCAATTGAGGAAGTGTCTGAGAAGAATACCAAGTCATTCCAAAAATCGAGAGCCGGAAAGGGTCAGGGGAATTTCAAGAAAGGCGGACCAGCAAGAGGGGGCCGATATACGCAAGACGTTGTCCAGAGGCTTAGCGGAGCTATTGTCGAATCTCAGGGCAAGAAGACGACGTTTGATTGAGTTTGCTGTTTTGCTCTGTTTTGAATACATATCCTCTACACCTTAGCATTGTGTCGCCATAGGTTACGAAACTTTTTTGTTGCTATATTTGTGTTTTCTCTAGATATCCTCCTAGTTTAGATTCTCGTGTTGTTTACCTTCTAAAATAATCGTCAAATATTTTTCCACCATTTTATAGTACGTTTAGCAAAAAATGCGGCTGATGCATTTCCACGCTCTACAACTACCTAGGCAATCATACGCCACAGCGACTTAATTTTTCTTGCCTCCCGCCTGGGGGGGTGTATACCTCATGCAGGGCTTCAATGCGAACCAGGGTCCCAGACATCCTGGACATAGAGAACAAGCGCGCTTGGGTAAGGAAGACGTGGGCAAGGAGCATCAACACTAGTCCGGATTGAACCTAGCCGCAACACTCGCCAAGCCTGGAATGTTTTGCGTGAACTTGAACAAGAACGGAGGAGAGCCTTAAAAAGATGACGCCGAGACCGTGAGAGAAGAACGAGAAGACGAGAAGACGACGAAGAAGGATAAGAAGGATACTACAACAACTACTGCTAGGCTACTTGGGTCCTGTATCTCCCATTCTGCTCTGGTCTTGCTGGTTGTCTCTGCTCGTGCACAGGTCGGTCCATCAGCAGACAGTCGACTCCTCTCGCCTTCACCTATTTGTTTATCTCGACGCCTTCTCGCCCCACAAGTCCATCCATATCTCTCTCCAACATAGTTAGCATCTGAGATATCTTTTCTGCGGGGGAAGTACAAGGCTCCGTTTAGGCGACATTTTATTGTATCTCCAGATGGCTCCTCATCGAAGAAGCCGGATTCCTAGCCGGAGGAGAAGGGGGGATGATGGGGATGAAGACGGCTCACTAAACGAGGATTTGGAGGATGATTCTCTGAGCGAAGGAACTATTTCAGCACACGAGGATGTCGATGCCGATGAAGAAGAGAGCGATCTGAGTGAAAAGGATGCAACAGCTAGGCCAAAGGAAATACCAGCAACAAATGGCCGGGCGCGAGTTACAGGTCGCTCTGAAGGCGATGAGGCTCAACTGAGAGGCAAATCGACAACTGCCGTCGGACGACTCTTTGGGGCAACAGTATCGGATACCGAGATTATGCTGAACGGGCTGAAGTTGTCTGAGGGACCGGAAGGCATCGAGGAAATCCACTTTGATGACACGAAGGAAGAGCTAGATAATTCTGTCGCCACCCCAAAATCCGCGAACAACAAGGGATCGAGGGGGGGGACGCTTGCAGAGAGGAGGCGGCGTGAGCATGAGGAATACATCAAGGAACGGGAGTCGAATCCAGCTTTCGTGCCTACTCGGGGTGGGTTCTTCCTTCATGACAAGCGGAATACTGATTCCCCGCCAAATGGCTATCGGCCACCATACAATAACAATACGAATAACAAACCGAAGACTCGCCCCCATGGTCTCATTGTTGATAGCAATGCTGCAAGGTTAGTATTCATTCCTAACTTGTCTATCATTTACCATTTCTTTCTTTGTTTTTTTCTGCGGGGACTAGATGCTGATTTCCACCCTGCCCAATTAGACGCCCTGCTGCAAAACCGGACGTAACTGCTGAGCAGTGGGCGCATGATCTACACGAAACCGTTGTCCAAGACACTCGCTCGGTACCATCCACTTCCGCGGCCGTTCCCAATAAAATTCCTTTCCCACATCCCCCAAGACCTGTCTCCACAGCTCCTCGATCATCTCCTCAAAACCGCTCCTTCTCTAGCATTATCCTGGTGGGCAATGTTCCTGTCATAGTGTTTCTCCCGGGCATGAAAGCCCCTATCCCATACTCCGCCGTACCTAAAAGACAACACACCTGCCTCCCCAAGCATCGACCCCCTCTTCGTCGTGATAAACCTGTTAGAATATCTTTACCAGGACAGCCGCCCCGATACATATTCCCCGACCCGGAGCGGTCCTTTATTTTTATCCCACGAGCATTAAGACCAAATCAACAATACCGACAACGAGGTCGTGGAGGCTTCTACGGGGGTGGTGGTAGGAGAACGAGTATTTACGGAGGGAGTATATATACGCCAAGCGTGGCCATGAGTCGCAGATCATCTGTCGGCAGGGGAACTGATGTCATCAACTCTCCTGCCGGCTCTGTCATTTCTCGCCTTGGTGTTATGCCTGGTGAAGGTGGGAAACCGGTAGTACGGCTACCACCTTCAATTAGACCTCCTGTTGGGCCAGGTTTTGTTCCACACCATGGCGTTGCCCCCCATATGAATGCCGCTCACCCTCCACCATACTCGATGCCGCCACCCCCTGAATTCCGTGAAAACCGGCCGACACATAACATCCCAATGCATCAGCCGCGACCACAGAAGACAGTCTCAGTTGCTGATATCGAATCTCCTGTTTCATACCCATTCAACCCATCTCAACAGCAACAGGAGCAACCTTTCCATCACCAGGTTCCACAGCCGGTTAATGGAGCGTTCATGCCTGATTCCGCCATGTATACTCCCCATGCGCGACAACCCTCACATGTCTCTCAGGCGTCTGCAACACCTCTGTCTCAGATCCCAGAGCGTGCCATCCACGCTCAACCGTTCCAGCCATATCCTTACCAACAACCCCAACCATATTATACCGAGGCTGGCTATCAACCTGCCCCTGTATTCTATCCCGCAACAAACCCAGAGTATCCAACCTACAACGCTCCCGCTCAGCCCGGCCATCCTCCAGCTTATGGGCCCCAACAAATGCCTTACTCCATGCCTCCGCACCAACCACCTACTAGTGACCTAGCGCAAACGCAGTCCGGCACCGTTGCGCATGAGTCAAACGGCACCGTATATTACTACGATACGTCACAAGTGGCAGGCCTCACATACCCGCAGCAGCAGAACGAAGTGTACTCTGCACCGCCTCAGAGAGCGCCGCAGGGAGGTGTAGTTGGTATGGGAGGCATGATGACACCACCGGGAACGACTTATTACTACCCTCAACCTCAAAATGGGACAGTATATTATGCATGAAAACCCTTTCGTCCAATTTTGCGGAGTCTTATACTTATACGGCATGTCCTTTTTTACTTCTTTACTTCCTTTTCTTTCTTCTTTTTTTGTTTCTTTTTCTTTTTTTCCTATTCTTGAACTTTTTTTTACTTTTTTACCCCAGCTTTTATTTACCATCTGTCGATTTTTCCGGAACCCATTTATCTTCAGCTATCTTTTCATACATTTTTGGCGCTGCTTGTCAGTTCTTATTTTGTTCTTGATGCTCCGTTGCTTTCGCTTCGCTGTTTAATTTCCAAAACGAACTCCTCATTCCCGTCTGCTGTTTAGATTATGTTCCCCGTGCATTTTTAGCGGCTTGTGTTTTTCTTTTTATTATTATTTTTTCTTTTTCTTTCTATCTTTCTTTTTTCAAATTCGGGCAACCATTCTTTTTATTTCATCATTCTTACTTTTTTACCGCCCCCTCGAACGCCATGGTTTCTAGGAATTATATATTCAGCCTCCTTTTACGGTATAGCATTGTTTTATTGTTTTAGTTGCGCAAGCCCATTTTGCTTTCCTTAGTTAGTTTTCGGACATGCATTCTTCGTCTCATGTTTCCTTTCCATTTGCTGAATATTGTTTCTTCGTTTGTCTCTTCTTCTCTTCCTCCGTTACTCTTTCTCGCAAGTGTCCCTGCCTTTCGCTCTCCGTTTTCACCTCGTCTCTCTGGTAAGCGTTCTCCAAAATCCCTCGAAAAGGAGAGAGAGAAAAAAAAAAAAAAAAAAGAGTTAAAAAAGGCGACCTTCTTGATTTACCTCTTGTTGATTTATATTCTATCATTTCTGCTTTCCATGCTTGACTATTCTTAGCCGCGTGCTCCTTAACCTGGCAAATTCTAGCCGTATCCTCTCTTTACCATACCCATTCACAACCGCTGAGAGCTCCCCATCTCTCCACGCTCATCCTTTATCATATATTCAAAACTTCTTGACTTATCTATTCTCCCACCCACAGCGTGCTTGATATCCCCGCATCCAAAAAAAAAGGCCCCTTTATCTTGATTTCTCACTTCTTCAATCTTCTTTACCCCTTAGTGCTATTGCCCCCTGTCGCCTTCCCCCCTTTAACAAATTTGGGCTTAAATCATGTTCATTGATTCCGTTTTCGTCGTTTGCTGTGCTACTATTTGTCTGCTTCGCTGTTTGCGTCTCATCGCTAGTTTTCTCCCCATAGGCTTGTATACGCTTTCTTTTCGTTTCTTTTCTTCTCTCTTCTATTCTTCCTTCACCTTTCTTTCTCGTTTTATCAAGGGCCAAAGTCATTCTTCGAACTTCCAAAACATACGCAATGCAAAAAAAAGCAAGCAAAAAAAGATGTCTGTTTGGTTTTTTTTGACCTTTCTTTCATGCTCTCTTACGTTTCTCGAACGCTTATTTTTATTCTCCCTCCCACATTTCTTTCTCTTCTCTTCTTTTCTTTTACTTTGCTTGATATCACTATTCTTATCTATACTATTTTATATTATCACGGTGGAAATGAAATAAGTAATCTACGTGCGGTATCCCTGTTTAACTTCGCATATTTTCATACTGGTATATTTCCTAATTTGTTCCCTGCCCTCCTCCATTTTCCCCTTTACACCCGCCCTTGTCTTTTCTCATAGAGAAAGACCTTGATATTGTATTTCCGGGACTTATTTATATCAACTATCTCCAGGATACTTCAGACAGCGATGTCACCTTTTTTTATTTCTTCCGCTATCGGCTTCTTAAATCATATCTTCCTTTTATTTAACGTTCGTTAGACGAAAAACCACTTTTTGGTTATCACTTCATGGTATTAGAGCGCCCCAGGAATGATTTCTCCTTCTAAATCCTAAATCACATAGTTGAGATCAGTGATTCGAGATCACGTGATTCGCTCCTCGAGCTTCCCCAAAAAACAACCTCCGCAACTATTTGATTGATCATCTAGAGATATCTCACAACTGCTGTGACTCCTACATGAAAATCACATATTATTATAACCCATTGATGCTGAAAACTCCTTATCGGAGAACAAAAGAAAGATTTCTCGCCCCACCAGGCAAAAAAATTGATCGACGAGCAGCTACGTGAGAATGGCAATTACCATTCTGCCGCCCTCCATGCCGGAGGAGGAATACAGCTCTTCAGAAGATGAATCAAGAGACTCCGAAGGCGATGTTGACATGTCTGGTGGCAATGCGCGACCTGCAAAACGTCTCCGTCTCTCTAAGGGCGGAATAGTCACACCGGGAGAAGTTGTGACAGATGATCCTCAATGGATGAGGTACATGCTATACACACCTTTCTTCTATCATTCTACCTCATATCAACATTCCTACGTACATCCAACCCTTATATGATACTATCAGCCTTCAACTAACAGCGCCCCTACCCAAATCCAGAGGCCACGGCACCTTCACCCGTCCGGCACACAACCCCTTCCACATCACCACCCCCTCAACCTCCACTAGCACATCAAACACAATCATAGCCACCGTCGCCGGCACCGTTCAAAAAACCAACAAACTCCTCTCTGTCCAACCACTGCGAGCCCGCTACACGCCCGAAATCGGCGACCTAGTCATCGGCCGCATCGTCGAAGTGCAATCGCGGCGGTGGAAAGTTGACGTCGCAGCACCCTTACTCGCCCAACTACCGCTATCCGCCATAAACCTTCCCGGCGGTATCCTGCGCAAGCGCACGACGGCTGATGAGCTGCAGATCCGCTCGTTTTTCAACGAGGGCGATTTGCTGGTCGCGGAGGTGCAGGCGGTCCATCAGGATGGGGCTGCGTCGTTACATACCCGCTCGTTGAAATATGGCAAGTTGCGCAATGGGGTGTTTTTGGCCGTCGGTGGTATGAGTGCGGCGGGTGGTGTGGTTAGGGGGAGTGGGGTTGTTAGGTCCCGGAGACAGGTGTGGACGTTCCCGGCGTCGCACGGTGCTGGGGAAATTGATGTTGTACTGGGGGTTAATGGGTATATTTGGATTTCGAAACATGTTGGTGATGGGGCTGTGGGTGGTGCCGCTGGTGGAGATGTGTCAATTACGCGCTTGGAGGAGATGGTCAGTAGTGCCATATACTCGAGTCAGAATGATGAAATTGGATTGGCCACGAGGAGGGAGATTGCACGGCTATGCGGGTGCATTCGGGTGCTTGTGGAGGGTGGAGTTAAGGTTGATGAAGACACGGTTATGAAGGCGTATCGTGCGAGTTTGGAAATTGAATTGGAAGTAGGGGATGAAGAGGAAGATGGAGAGGGGAGGGAGGGCAGAGATTATCTGGGCGGTGAGAAGGCGAAGAGAGTTGTTAATGCGGCGTTAGGGAGGTAATCATAGGATACGACTTGGTAATAAATGAGATCTACTAATCTGATCCAAAACGGAGATCCAAGCCTATCTATCCTTTAAGCGTTAATTTTGTATTGCTCCCTCGTACACAGTATTTATACTATCTATCTACTTCAAAAATAAAAAAGTAAAACAACAGGAGTTTAAATAACTAGTCTCTCAGGAAAAAAACTAGTACATAGGGTGTATCAACAACTAGAAATTCTACAGAGTCATGGACAACTAGCGCGCTTCTTGAACCGCCCAAACAAACCCCTATCTATTCCGACAGATAATATAAAGTTCTATAACTTAAACACTGGCACAATTCCCGTCCACTCTCCCCTTGCCCTCTCCTCCCAATACCCATCCTTTCCTGTTTTCATCTTCCAAACAGTCTCGTCTTCAGCAGCCCCATCACCCTCCCCGACAACCTCCACAAACCACCTAGGCCTCCAATGTTCCCCTCTCTCCTCCATCTCCCTCCTCCTTTCCCGCTGTCTCTCCTCCAACTCCGTCTTGAGGTGTTCTGCGTGGTCTACATCCCCCTCCTCCAGTGCTAGCTGGTCCGGCCGTAGCCGGCTGTCCGTAACAGGGATTTTCCCTTTCTCGATATCAGTGATTTCATTCAGCGAAGCAGCGAAGGATGTGTATCCATAATTCTTCGTAGGTTTAGCGACGAGCGGGCCAGCAGCCCAGATGGTCTTGTTTGTCTCCACACCATGTTCCGTCAGTTGAAGGGAGGAGGTCCAGGACCCCTGGAGGCCTAGGGGTAGCTCCCCGCCATGCGTGTCAAAGGCTTTAACGGAAACTTCTTCGCTGCGGCCTGAGAACACGCCGCCAGTTTTGAAGGTTGCGATTGTCTTTTGGCCTGTAGTTTCGTTGAGAACGCACATCTGGCCGACGGGCTCGACATATTTTTCGCCTGCGATGATGTTACGAAGGAAACATGTTGCGGGGGACCAGCTGAAATGTTCGCCGTTAGAGTGCAGAGTCAGGCGGGCTTTGCCATCCGTAATTATCTCAGCCGACTTGCCCCAGAATTTTTGTGTGGGTTTGGGCGATTGGGTGAAGCTCCAATCTTTGGAATCTGCTTGGTAGGCGAGTTGAACGGGCCGGTGAGAGACCTTTTCGGCGATGAAACGGAAACCGCGGTCTTCGCGGATAAGTTCAAAGGTTTCGCCCAGCATGGGATTGAAAGGCTTGCGGATGGCGCGTTCCTTGACTCTCGCGTTGGAGAGCGGTGAGAGGGCAAATGCTGTCACATAGATTAGACGCTCCAGGCCATCAGTGGCGCTTGCGGCATTGTCGAGAAGTTGGGAATATTCGAATTGCTCGGCTGCGCGCTGAAGAAGGGACATGGGTTCATTGGCAGAAACCGGCATGGAAATGGTTGACAGATCCTTGCCAACGTTCCTGCGAAGAAAGCTTATCAAACTTGGTGGCGGCATAGCTGGTGGTGGTATTTGGGTTCTCCGTACGACTTTAATATCAAGGGGCAATGGCGCAAGTGATCTAGGCTTGGCTGGGAACAGAGATGAGGAGTTATCCAGTCTGAACCCGTTACTCGTGAAAGTGTCACCTTCGTCCATCTCGCTACCAGAGAGGGACTCATCATCTCCATCAGCCGTCACAGGAGATTCACTCCTCTCATACTCATCGTCGCTGTCTCGTTGAATGGTAAGTAGCGGGGAGATATTTCCGTCCGTAGCATCGAAGAATTCCTGTGATGCCTCGGACTCAAAACTTGGGCGGGTTTTGATGTGGCAACTTTTGGTTGCGGCCTTCTGTTTTTTATCCAGCATAAGAGTCGAAAATTCTGACACAACATAATTAAGTTCTTGGAGTATTATCATCAAATCGTCATGTACACTCTGTTCGGGAGTCTTGCTCACCTCGCCATGAGGTTTCGCGTTGGGAGGAACATTCGCATTCGACGGTGGAATTGTGGTTTGTGGAGAAATATTACGTTTCCCAGCTGGATTGGGGGTGTGGCTGATATCCCGAGGTTTCAGTTTCCAGAAAGACCTCTTCTCTCTATTCTCCACCGCTTCATCCACACTACTTCCCGTTTGGGAGGGAGTAGACTTTTTAGCAGTAGATGGGCTCTGTGAGCGTTCCCGACGCTCAATAGGGGTTCCTAAATACTTAGGGTCTGTATCTTTTGCCAAACGACGCACCATATCTCTTGTGTTAGATACTTTCTCAACTAGGGCTTCCACCTCCTCCCATTCTCGGACATCATTCACAACAGTGCTAGAAGGCTTTCCCAGCTGGGGGCGTGTTTTCGGGTGGGATTCCGACAGGCTGCTTTCTTGGTTTTGAGAAGCTTTTTCCAAAGCGCGCTTCCATGCTAAAAAGTCAGAGTCATTGGAGGCTCGGAGATGCCAGATCTCCACTCCAGAATCAATAGATATTTCTCTAGTCTTTTGATTGGTCGCAATAACCGCTAGGTTCAAAGGTATGGCGCCGCGGAGGGCCGACGAATTACGATCGTGATAGTAGGATAAAGTTGACGATGTAAAATTGAGGGAGAAAAAACGACGTGCGTATCCCTGGTGACGCTTTCTCCTTCTCTTCTGGAGAATCCCAGCGTGTACAGTTAATGGGAAGCTTTTGGAAGAGTCCGCGCTAGGAGGAGGAATTTTGCTATTGGCCCGGGCACGGCCAGGTCGCAATGACTCTGTCGAGTCTAACGCCGTCGGGTGTAATGCGGGGCTCGGGCGCGCCTGGAGATTTCCAACGACTGTCCCTGTAGCTTGTGAATGGTGAACCTGGTGACCCGAATGCGGAGGAGCATGGGAGGGATAGGTCAGAAGGACAAAAGTTGCAGTTTTCGAGATTTGTTTCGAGAAGGTATTGTCGAATACAAGAGCATAATTCCCTCCTTCGTTCTGGTTAACGTCATAGGTTCCCTGAGAGATTTTATCCGCTTCGCATTTGCCAATCCACTGGATGGGCTTCAGACCTAAACTTCGAAGTTTCTCCGTGACCACAGACGAGGAATTGACATTTTTGTTGTTCTCCTTATTCGATTCACTAAACTCATTGGTAGTAGACTCCGAGCTGTTGTGGCTGCCCGCGACATTTCCGGATGGGCCGGGATGTTTGAAGATCCCAAAATTGAGGGACTTCTTATGGGGTTGAATGCTCCAGGATATGGTATGTTCGGATCTGACGTTGATCCAGCGTACAAGATAAGACTGTGTTACAGTGCTATCCATTAGCCACATGTTGCGATTCAGAAATCAAAAGGGAGATAGAGGAGGGGTATCAGGGGTATGGCTTGTCTCGGGAAGGTAGCGTGTACTTTACTATGAATCTCCAACTCTTCCATTCCCGCCATGATGCCAGATAGCCGATAATTTTGGTATGCTTTGGGGCGCGCAAACGCGCCCTTTGATTTAGAGATATAAGGAAGTTGGAAATTCTATGGCGACCTAACCATGACCAAGCCTGCAGAGAGATTTGGGAGAGAACAAAAGGGGAACAAGTGGAGTATGAGAGTCGCGGAGGGATCTACGCTGACGCTATGACTACCAGTCACTGTGTCAGCGAGCGAGCGAGCGAGAAGCGAGATACGCTGTGTAAGTAAGATACGTTTTAGCACAGCACACAGCTCAACAACAGCGAGGATAGGATATTGGCCACTAGCGAAATGGAGAGAAGTCCCTAGAGTTGATTGATATATAAATACAAATGTTGTTGGTAGTAGTTATGGGCCCCCCCTTTCGAGTTTGCTTTTACTTGACTCGTATCGCATAATCATAGGATCACATGATTCTGGCGGCTCTGGCTGAGTCAAGTCAGCGCTAGTCTAAATCGAGGCAACTAGGCGCTGCACAAGTGGGGCTCCCGGAGTATCCACTGTTTTCATTGTATGTAATCACGGGAAATCACGTGAAAACCATGTCATCCATCAGTCAGCACGTCATTGCCGAAAAGGGAGATCAGCCGCAACAACGTCGATACCTTGTCGGATATCTCGTGCGTCTCGGAGATATCTTGGACGTTCGATCTGGGATGTACAGAGTATTATTCTGGGGACAAATCTGGCTTGTGGAGATGTGGAATTCGCGTGTGCATCACTCTGGAATACAGTCGCCCTTGATACGCCAGTTTTGATCCTTATAAAAGTCCGGAACTTGGGGGCTTTCGCTTGACGGTGAAACTCAATCTGAATGAACATTTTTACCCTCTGTTTGAAATTCTTGGAGGGGCACCAACTTGGCTGCTGGGTGCCGGAAGGCTGGTGCCTTGGTAGTGTTGGGGTATCGCTATCACTGTCTTGCTGCTCCTCTGCTCAATCCGCAAACCGAGCACCACCGGGGGGGTTTTGCCTACACGCCCTTCTGCTACCATCCATGGATGCTTTTCCGGGAAATAAATCCATAGATCTGGTTAAAAAGGGAACAATCACGCATTCTTATTGATCAAAGCTAATCAGATATCGATACAGCTTCGGTTCATTCCCACCTGGGCACCAACTGTGATACGACGCAATTACAGATATCTTGATATGAAAGCCAGGCAACAACACCTTGTTTACACGTGTGGATAAAATGGATGCCCACATGACCATGTATTCTTCAGGTTTCGCTATATCACCTCTCCCTGGGAGACTGGACGAATGTAAATGACGAAACCCTTGCACAGTACCTCCCCCGCCACAAATTTGACTCATTTTGCAAAAGCAATCCTGACTGGCTTTCCAGAGGGACATGCCACATATCTGTTCAAAGCAGAAACAGAGAAATAATTACCAGACAAGAGGAAACAGAGGAAGTAAAGCAGAAATACAGTGTCTCAAACTCCAATCTGGTCTTTCCAATTCGAAATTCTTCAAAACTGCACTATCCTCCATCGTCTGCTCCCTGACAACCTGAAACCCGCATTTCAACGCCTTAAAGCTCTCCATGTTTTTCTCGTTGCATACCACATATAGCTTGTCTCATTTCCTATTTTCCCCTCTCTTCGACAAGCTCCACCATGCATTGATCATTGCAGAGGTCGCTTCTGTCCCAATCCCTTACCCCACTCCTCTAGGTGAGTAAGATACCCTAGAGTTGGCACGGGTACCAACTCGCTTATACCCACGGTGCCTATAATGCGCCCAGCTGGGCTATCAACATGCAGCATGACGAATTGTTAACTAAGCCCTACAGCGCAGGGTGGGGCGGTGAACGTCTTTAGGGCCATCCATTTTCTGGTGGCGGAGACATCTGCATCAGGTATAAAGGGCCAACTAACATAACACAGGACGTCAGCCATATATTAAACAGGCGGAAGATTGCCTTTTGCCGGATGAAGGGGAACGGAAGCATTTAAGAAGGAAGAAGGCGGAACAAAATAAATAGAACAAAAGACAGGAAGCCAAGTCACATCTCAGTGTCCTCACAGCATCCTCTCTCGAGCGGATGGCAAATAGGCCCTCTGCATCTGAGTCACGGACTTCACGGAGTATCAATCGCTGGGAATTAATGATACTTGGGGTAGATTCTGGCGGAGCCGGGAGGACGATGTCAAACTCGGAGTCCTCCCTGACAGATTCGGCTATAATCCCTCCTGTTCCGTGATTGTTGCAGCTGTCATGCGGCATTATCGTCCAATTATCTAGTAAATTTTGACTTTCCAAATTGACTATTTAAACCCGCAAATAAAATGCCGAATCTTTTTGGAGTTTAATCAAACTCTTCCAAGGGTATTGAAAAGAACTTTGTACCCTGAGTATCATATCCTCCTCTTGTTCAGCGTTGGTAAAGAATAAGGCGCGGCAAGAGCATCGACATAGTTACTTGCGTCTCCTTCCCAGCGAGAATTGGGTCCCGTATTCCATCCATTGTTGCTTCTGAATGAACTAGTACGAGGACGGATCCTGTTCCTGTTGCCTGACATAATGATTACGGACTCCGCAGACCCATCGGAGGCATAGCTCTGCATCGGCTCTGAGCTGTTGTAGGGTAGGGGAGGAGGAGGGGGGGGGGGTGGGGAATTCAACGCTTTTTTTTTCTTTTCTTTTTCTTTTTCTTTTTCTTTTTTTTTTTTTTGGCTAGTTATAGAATGTGGTTGAAAAACCATGCGCTGAGGTTCATGAACTAACATCAAGCTAGAAACCTCCCAGTTCTTTCGAGAAGATTAGCCCTAGAAAAAGCAACTCTAGGAAACGAACCAGCTGGCCAGAACAATGCCAATGTGGACCACTTTTAACATGGTTGAGAAAGTTTCTTTTTCGCATTCTCTTTTAAATCTCGCTCCGACTCTGAGGATCTCCGATTTGAATGCAACGTTTCACCGACGTTAGAACAGACCACAAATGATATCGAAAAACAGCAAGAAACTGTTGGGGGTCCCGGGTTAATCGGCCCTTCTACCAGCAGTGCGCTGGTGGTGACTGAGCTCTTTTGCCCCAGTAGCCTACATATACACCAACCGCCTGTCCTTACTATGTGGACAGAAGCCTCGACTAAAGAAAAATAGGAAATTGCGCATGATTGGTGCAAGTATCCCCCGTACTTACTGACGGAGCACGAGCCTAAATGCGACTAGTTGTGAGAGGTGCATGATGCTGTATGTTGACACATATTAGGCTGGACGCCCTGTCCAAGGGTTTAACCGGCCTCTTGTTCAGACCCCCCCGCGTCTCCGCGCTGGAGCGATGGTTCCAGTCTTTGACTCCACTGCCGGGACACTGTCCTCTTCGGTCAACACCAGCCGGTCGGTCGGTTGAAACAGACGACAAGTGTCTTGAAGTCTCAGCTCCGAGAGTTACGCTGCCAAAGCGCGAACCACCACAACCTCCCAACTCCTGCAGAATGCCGACAATCGAGGCTCGAGAGCTGTGCTACCCTGGTATTTGTCGCACTTCAGCACTTCTTCTACCCTTAACCTAGTTGGTATTTCCATAGTCAGATCAATCGTCGGCAGGGGTGGATTTGCCTTTGGTGCGCACAAATGTCCTAACGAGCGCTAAATATTTTTGTTCAATCTTCGAGGCAAAAGACGCCGGACTTCGTCTTCCTACTCCCTGTACGCGCTAACCAGACCACGTTAATACGCCCTGGGCCATGCCCAATTTGATATGCATCCCCGAATTTGACTAAGAACGGTCACGGAAAATGAAAAGAAGATGTATCTAGGGGTACTGCTTTTTCCCTCTGAAAACCCCGTTTGCAGATCGAGACGTGGGTTATTGAGTTACAGCCAACTTGTTCGATTGTTGCACGTTACATAACAGCAAACTCCAGGTATCCTGTTTCTGCGACAGCAGAGAGCCAAGCATAACGGCGGGCGCCAGATTCACCAAAACAATCAGCCCAGTGCTCTTCCGTCTGTGTTTCGGACCTCGCACAGGGTTCACGGAGAGTTTGTGCTTATCCACGCTGCATATAAAAAGCAGATAAGAGCGGAGCGGACCTATACCATCAAAGCGTTGACCAGGCGTTGATCATCTTCGGTGTGAAGCTAGAGAAAAGAATCGCAAGTCAAGCAAACAGTGGGGCAGGTGGAGGTGCTTGTGTATTTCAAACAAGCTACTCCGATGTTTATATGAAAACTACCCTGCCCCTGCCCTCTGGGAAGATGAATTGCGGAAGGCTGGGCTAGCTTGTGCTCGGTCGCACGGTATACTTAACCATAATAAGAGGCCTGGAAGAAATGAGGCAAGCTTTTTGACAAGGCCCTCCCGCTCGTCTTTCCTTTTTTCTCTTTCAACCCTTTTGAATACGTTCAATATTCAAGCCTTCTTTCGGGGAGGAGGGAAGTGGAAACAGAAACATAGAGATTCAGCATATGTTATGTTTCTGATAGCTCTCCCCCTCTTTTTCCTTTTACAAATTCTTCACATATAACTATACCTTTTTAATATTTTCTCGTTGATTCACTTCTCCTTCTTTTTCCAGTTAAATATTTCTTTATTAACTCTCCCTTACTCCCTGCGGTGGGAAGGTGAGAGCAGCAACACAACACCAGCGGCCTCAACCCGGCAACAGTAATGGCTGCCCAAAATTCAGTAACGGCTATCCCGCCCGCCGAGAAAACGGAAGAGGAATCGAAAATTTCGATTCAGAAATCAAAGAAATCACCGGCGTTCTATCTCTCCGTTTTCTGGCTTTGCCTTATATCTGTGATCACGTCCTTGGATTCCGTGATCATAACAGCCATTATACCATCAGTTGCTAGAGATTTACCTGGCACCACAGTACAACTTTTCTGGTGCGGAACGGGATTCTTGTTGGCACAGACGGTTCGTAACATTCAACTTAAGTAGCACATATCGGCTTCGGAAACTGCACAGGAAGAGCTCAGCTGTTTACCGCTTGAAAAATAAAAGCTAATGCAGACGGACCAGGTCACCATCCCGCTATATGGGAGCTTTAGCGATATCTTCGGCCGTAAATGGGCTCTAAACTTCGCCCTCGTCATCTTTACATTTGGAAGCATCCTTTGCGCAACAGCCAAGCACATGCAATGGCTGGTTGCTGCACGAGCTGTCAAAGGTCTCGGTGCTGGGGGGAACCTTAGCCTGGTCTCTGTGATTATCAGTGACATAACCACACTACAAGAAAGAGGCTCGTACATGTCCTTAGTGTCTCTAGCATGGGCCGTGGGCACAATAGCCGGAGTAAGCTAGAATCCTAATTGAAATTTTATTCACATAATCGTGGTGAAGACAACATACACCTGATCTCCGGCTAACAAATCCCTCAACCGTGAAAAATGGATATAGGTCCCTATCGGCGGCGCTATCGGAGAACGCACAACGTGGCGATGGGCATTTTGGATTAACGTGCCCATCTGCGTCGTTTCCATCGTCGGTCTCACCATGTCGCTCAGACTCAAGTCCGCAAAAACCACGCTGAGGGAGAAAATTACCCGCATCGACTTTCCCGGCATCTTCGTCTTCGTGGGCTCGACCACCTCGTTCCTCCTCGGGTTGACAACTGGGGGCACACTTCGCCCATGGGGCTCCGCTAGCGTACTTGTACCACTAATTGTGGGGGTTTTTGGATGGGCTTTGTTCATATATGTCGAGCTCAAATATGCCCATGAGCCTATGATTCCACTTCGGGTGTTCCATGACCGCACGGCGGCGGCGGGAGGTTATTCTAGCGTCTTTTTCCATGGGCTTGTACTATGGTCTTTGTCTTATTATATCATTATCTTTGTGAGTTTGCTACACTCTACTATCTCTCGGTGACATATGATAGATCTTGAGAGAAACCGTATCGGATATGGAGCTTACACTTCACAGTTCCTCGGAGTCACCCAGCATGGACTCCTCCAGTCAGCCGTGGAAACGTTACCGGGATCGTAAGTTATTTGCCACGGCTTGATAATCCTAGCCCAAGCAACGGGAAACATCCCCCTTCCAATAGGAATAGAAATACAGAACAATATTGAAAATGAAAGAACCACTAACCCACAACCATCACAAAACAGCGCCTTCGTCGCCCCCTTCTCCATAATCGCAGGGATAGTGATGACAAAAACCCTCCGTTTCCAGAAGGTAGTCTGGACCGGCTGGGTAGTCATGACAATCGGCACGGGCCTCAATGCCCTACTCAAGCCTCACTCGAACGGCGGCATCCTCTATGGCGTACGTATAATCATGCCAATAGGCGCCGGCCTCCTATTCCCCACGACAACCGTCGCCGTACAATCCGTGCAGAAGGGCGAGGATGTCGGCATCGCCACCTCCGTGCAAGTCTTTGCGCGCAGTCTCGGCCAGGCCTTCGGCGTTGCGCTGGGCGCTGTGATTTTTCAAAACGAGTTTGACAGGCTCGTGACACAGGCGGTGGCGGCGGGTGCGTTTACTGGCAACAGTAACCAGAACATGCTGGTCCATGGATCCCAGGCGGACGCTGCGTTCGACATCATCCAGACGTTTCCGGAGAATGTGCAGGAGGTTTATCGATATGTGTATGCGGATTCGTTGAGGACGATTTGGTATGTTCTTACGGGACTTTCTGGATTTGCGTTTTTGGTAAGTTTAGCGATGAGGGATGAGAGTTTGAATAAAGATGCGAAGGGGAGGCATCAGTTTGACCATGAGAGAGGAGGGGACGCCCACGGGGAAGAAGATTCTGAGCAGGCGAAGGAAGGTAAAGAGTATTCGAAGGAATCTAGCGCGTCGAGTTCTAGGATACAAGGCTAAAAATGGAGCAAGAAAGGCGGGAAAAGGGGGAGAGGATTTGTGATACCGAGATAAATTCGTAGCGCTCTTCGTAGCGCTCTTTTTATATACGGAATCATCTCTCTTCGGCTTCCTTTCAACACGTGTAACATATATATACAAACAAAACGTCAGCATGCTAAGGCTCAGGATTTCTCAAATCTAAGTTATTATATCATTTTTTCTTGATGATACCTATTTGAACGTAGCGTGATGTGCGTCGGGTGCTCAGGGGAATGGGTTTCTCTTCCGCAGGTTAGTTGATTTTATGACTAGATTCGCAGACATGGTGAAATCGGACGGTTGAAACATGGATGTGCTGGTTGTATCATACCACTACAATCCCCATCCTGCCTCATTTAACGTAAGAAAGAATTATACTTGGAATGTGAATGTTATATTCTGCAACAAGCTCCTCCTCTGATTCCACTATCAGCTTGGCCCCCCCCCCCTTACTTTATCACCAGATATCAAAGCGATTTCCCCTGGTGCCTAGCTATAATGAACATGATCGATCTCATCCCATATCGTCGACAAGCGGGGAAAACCAAAGAAGAAAAAGAGATGATCCCCAGCTCAAGTTTATAAAACACCCAGCAAAAAGAAAAGATAAAAAAGAAATATAGGCAGTAATAGACATATGAGTTGCATGGATATACCGTACCTATCGCTTCAAACCAACCTATTTATCTATCCATCCTTTCATCCATAATTCCACAGAAAGGGCAGCAATACAAGAATGTCTGAGAAACAGAAAAAAAATAAAATAATAATGTACTCCCCGACCCCAATCCAGTCTCAAGATCACCTATGATAAAAATCACCGATACCCACCACCACCACCACCACCACCACCAGCAGCCCGACTCTTAGCTCGCGCCTGCAAATTCGCAAACAGTAGTTTAAACCCATTACATAGCGCCATCATGTCCGGATACGGGTTACGTTGCAACTCATACCCCTGCGGGATAACCTTGACAGCCCAGCTATTCAACTGCGCATTCTCGCCTGCTTTGAAGCAGAGGTGGAAATAGCCCGGGTGCTTGCGGTCGATGCAGAATGCGTAGACGGAGCGGCGGGGATTGGCTTTTGTGTAGGTTGTTAACCAGCCTTCTTTATGGGGGAAGTGTAATGTTAGTTTTCATTTTCTTGTTGACGTTTTACAACGCTATATATGTGGGGGAAGTATTACGAAACGTACCTGTATCGGCCTTGGTTCCCTCCTGGAACTTCTCATGGTTCATCATATCATCCACCTTCTTGGCCATGGCCTTGATATGGTTGACGATAAGCTCGTCAAGATCGCTATACGAGTACCTACCGCCAACCTTCAAAATCTTGCCCACGGAGAACTCATTCTCTTTGTCTAGCTCAAGGATGTCAAGGTGTTGGTAGATGCCATCGGAGACCTTCCAGGTGGCGGCGATATGGTCGATCCCGTTCGATGAGGGTCTGATAACCACATCCCCACGGCTCTGGGTCGCAAGGAACTCCTCAGCTTGCACAGAGTTGAAAGGGCGGAACAGCGGATGTTTGATAACGCGCATTGCCCGGCCGCTCGTCTCTGTCTTTTCGCGGAGCGCCTCTCTATCCGCGTCTTCTTGTCGCTCATCCCATTCGCTGCGGAGGTGATCGAACTGTCGTCGATACGGCTTGTTGACCTGACTTTCTCGCAGGGAGACGTTGGCCTGGAGGAGCTTACGGTTGAGGTAGAGAATCTTTCCCTGAACCGTTTGGTGGGGGGCAAACAGACTTCGAACGGGGATGTCATAGCGGTCGGTAATTTCAACCTCGCCGGCGATAGCGTCGATTCCGCAGTCTAGCTTGCCGTCGATATGATCGTCTGTAACGCGTTTGATGGAAATCGGCACGACCATACCTTCTGCCAGAGACTCGGGTGTCTCTCCAGTCAACATGGTGAAGATAGTATCCGTGCCTAGGAAGGCAAACTGTTTCCGCAACTCTTCATACGGCTGCTGTAATTCCGCACGAATGGTTTCGAGAGTAGCTCGCTTCCGCTGGCTAAGGTTCTTTTCAAGCTGCTCAGCGTACTCCTCGAGAATAAGATCATTGACTCTATCCTGCGCGTCTTCCTTGATAAGTTTGCGAATAATAGCGCCTTGTCCATTTTCATCTGTTTCAGCCTTGATATCTTCTTCATCGAGCTCCAACGCATCAGCAGCCATTTTCCGGCCAATATCATAGTCTTCAGGATGAACACGTGTATTATCAAGGTAGTCCGCGTCCGGATCAGTACTGTCATAATCAATAAAGAGGAAACTGGCGCAGTTGTTCCAAACTTTGACGCCCATGGCCGGATATTGAGCATTGACGCCAAGAAGCTCCATCCTATTGTTGACAATGCCTCCGTTCATATTGATAATCTTAAGAAGGTGGGCAGCTTTCCGAGGGCCAAGGCCGCAGACGTAGGGAAGTAGGTTTGCCGTTGCCATATCAGTGACAGCCTCGTTTATGTCAACACCACAAAGGTTGACCATGTCCACGAGAGCCGTTTCCAGCTGCTTCAGGATTTTGTCCTGAGGAACAAGTTGCTGTCCTGGCTTGAACTGAATCGATACAATGTCTCTACCCAAGGATGCGTACTCCTTCATCGGGTTCTGGAGGTACTTAGCCAGCGCAACACAATAGTGAGTCAAAGTAGCAAAACCAGGATGCTCCATTTTAGCCCGCTCGCTAGTCTGGTAGAGTCGGGCGACTTCATCGTTCACCATAACCACTTCTAGGTGATCGCTGACTTCCTCATCGTAGTCGTTGGTGTAAGTAGCGCCACGCAGGTCTTTCGAAGAGACAAGATCCGACAGTTGTTTGGAAAGCTTTCTAGTCTCGGGCGAGAACCCGGATACACCAATAACATCAGGCTTGCGTCTATCCACGAGTTCAACGAAGGCGGCGACGTCTTTGCCATCCGCAATCATTCGGCCCGAGTCACCGAGAGAGAGGTCGACAAATTTTCCATTCTCCAGCACCCTACCATCTTCTTCAACCCATGCCCAGTAGATAGGATCTTTCCCGACGACACCGTTTCCATTCGATAAAGCAAGAACTCTGGGAATGGTGCCTAGAATCATCCCCTTGGGCTTATAAGGAGCCTGATCAAGTCGTAACGAGAATGCTTCTCTGCACTCCTTGGCAACATGGTTCTCGCATTCCGTCCTAATATTTTCCTTAACACCCCGGCTCATAATCCTCTCCAGCTTCCCAAGGGCCATATCAACAACCTCTCTTCGCTCTCTATTCCACGCGTCAGCAAGTTCGCTAAAGTTATCCGATTCGATCTGCGAATAAAGGTTTTTCTTGAAATTGTCAAAATTCTGGAACCGGACTTTAACATCCACTAAGCCCTCTTCCTCCGCTTTAAGCATCCGCAGGAAAAGTTCCGGGCGACGAGCAATGTCGCTTAGCTGCTGGTTTCGAAGGTACTTAAATTCGTAATACGGATGCTGTTCGTCGATCTTTTTCAAACCCTTCTCCGTTCTGAAACACTCGATAACTCCATTCATGTAAAAAGCCTGCCTCATAACCTTGCGCATCTTGGGATTCATCGTAATTTCTTCGGCAAACATTGACTTGGAAGCCTTCAGAGCATGGCCGCCATTTGTAAAGTTATCGTCAAGAAGATTATCCGCCATCACGTCTGGCTGTTCTGCGGGGTCTTCGGTATATTGCCGCTTTCCTTCTTTCAGTGCATTTTGCGCGAAAGCATCCGCAGTGATACCAAATGCGCGAACCAAACCATACGCCCGGCTATTTCTGACACGTTCTGAAAAAGTTCTCGTGGTAGCTTTCCGCCGTTGTTTAGAGAGTCCATCCTCGCCACCCCCATTAACCACTGCAATATCCCTCAGCTGACTAGGGTACTGGAAGTAAAGATAGTCCTGCACATCCTGTAGCTCCTCCATGGTCACAGCCAGTGGCAGCATCGATTCAAAGATGTCATCTTTTACGTTGCTAACCGCTTGAAGGTTATCGTAAGTCTTTTGCAAGCTGTTACGCTTATCGACGAGCGACCGGAACTTCAGATCGTATTCAAAAATATCCCACAAATCTATCATATTCAACAGCTTCTCAGCCTTGACGACATACTCTGGGCCATCCGGATTGGAAGGGTCAGGGGACACGGGAACTTTAGCAGCGTGTATAAGATAATCTTTGCGATGCTGGAATATAAACGGGACCTCCCAATCATCAGTAATCATGAACTCGAGGACTTTCGCAATGGATCGCTGGAACGGTTCACGCAGGTCCGGATCGAGGCGCTTCTTCAGCAACATGAGGTTCGATATCCAAATCGCCTCTTCCTTGAACTGCTCGTCGGTCAATATGACATGCTTGTATGGCTTTCTCGCGATCTGACATCGTTCAGGTTCATCAGTGAAACGAATAACATTGTCTTCCTCGGTCAACATCTTCTCCGCGAGTTGGGACGGCTCGAAAACATCCTTCAGGTCAAGTTGCTTTTCTTCATCTTCGTCCAGCTCTTCCTCTTGGTCTTCGGTCTCAAGCGCAAATAGATAGTCATTCCCGTCACCAAAGGCCATCCGCATGTCTTCCAGCGCTGTCTCATCAAGGCCTGTTGCATCCGTCACGCCTAATCCTGACAACCCCTTTCTCATGGGGCGTGCAATTTCCTCGTCTTCTTGTAGCTGTTCGCGTTCTTCGTCTGAGAAGACATCCTCCTCGATGAAGTTGTCCATATCATCCTCCATCCCCCTTCGTTCATGTCGCCCGATTCTGCTATAGTGATCAACCTCCTCCTCCTCGTCTGAGTTGAACATGTCATCGATGCCGCGAGAGACATGTCGATCTCTGTCAGACTTGTGGCCGCGTTTCAGACGTTTGAACTTGGACTACGGGAAAAAATGAGACATTATGTCAGTTCTGGTATTTTCGCAATAGAAATATATTTGGAACCTACCTCAGTTGGTAGAGCACGCTGTAGCTCTGGGTTATTTTCTCCGATCAGGTAGATATCTTCTTCATCGAGGTCCTCATCTTCACGCTCGCGCTCTGCCTGACGACGCCTTTTCCGTTCGCGACGACGTTCTTCCCGGTCCTCAATTTCCTCATCCTCATCGACGATGAATCCTTCGCGGACCTACACAAGGAATGAAGTGTCTCTTTTTTAGTTCTCGGGTTTGGTAGACAAAAGAGAGGGGGGGATGGGGCTGCGAGATTGAGAGCTTACCGCGCGTTCAGCTTCCTCGTCATCGTCGTCCTCATCTTCTTCGCTTGAGTCCTCGAATTGTCCGTTTACATGCTCGCGCTCTCTGGGGCCATCGCTGGCCGCTTCCCCGTCATAGGATACATCGTCCTCCTCGTCGTCCAGCAGGGCCTCGTTGTCGAGAAGGTCCCGAGACGTCATATTTGGTGTATGTTGGGCAACGCCGACTCTGGAGCCAAGCTAGTCAATAGCTCGGATAGGGGCTTGAGAAGTACAGACACAAGGAAAGGAGGGATGGGGTGGCGCTGGCAAAGATTGCAGAAGAAGATGATGAAGAAGCTCCAGACAATTTTTCTGATCGGGAATGGCGACGGAGGTCAAAAAGAAGCTGCCGACTGTGGCTGGTGTAACTAGTGTGGCTGGTGGTTTAGTGCTAGACTATATTAGGAATGGCGCAATATGTTATATATTTTCTCCGGATGAATTTTGGACAATCTTTTAATGAGCAAACCATGTCTACTACTTAGTACTTACTGATAAAGAGTGCACAGCTGCCATTCTATTATTACTAGCATTGACTAGCTACCGGTAGCTCTCCGAAAATGTGGTTAATAAAGGCCTGAACAGCCAGGCAACCCTAGGAATGGAAATCTTGCAGGCTGTCATCAGTTGCTTTACGGTGAGATGAGATGGCTGCTTGGGTCAATATAAAAGATAAATACGACTGACTAGTAATAACATCTTCGCGGAAAAAGTGAATTCGGTATAAATTCACTATTCAGAATATTAACTATTCCGTATAAGAAATCGACAGAGGAACGTCCGTTATCCATCGTTACGTCTGGATTCCAAAATAGATCAACTGCTATTACTTACTGCCTTGAAATTCACACCTAGGAAGCTATCCGTCGAGCATTATTATTACAGTATCAGCATGTTTAACCGCCAAAAGCCGAGGGGGCCACTTTGTATTATTGGCCATAATGTTTTGCCTCAAAAAGAATGCCGAATCCGCTAATTATTGGCAATAATGTCCTCTATTTATCCATAGATATGGTCAAAAGGCGCTGAACACAATCATGTAGTGCTATTTAACACCGAAATCGAAAATCGAAAACATGCTCAATCTGTCGCCATGTTCCAGAAATTCGCGAGGATATTCATCATCAGGACCCCCAAAGCGGCCATTGGTCCAGTCGGTTGGGGATGTTCCTTGTTAACTAGCTAGGGGACAATAGGAATTTACACCTTTCAGTCTTCAGTCTCGTGCATTGGAAGACCCAAAAGCCCCTGCTGTTTGATGCCGCTGGATAAAAAAAAGCAAAAAAGAAAAAAAAAAAACAAGAGCCCAACGACAGGCACGAAAAGAGCCAGCTCACTCCATGATTTGCTATCTCTTCTCCGCAAGCATGTTCACGAAGGGCCAACCGCGCAACACTCCGGGAGAATTTCATGACTTACGTTGTAATTTAAATTAATTCCTCGCACAGCATCCCAAGCCACGGGTCAAGCAGATCGTGGGCTCTTCGGGCGTCTCTGGGCGTGGATTGGCCACGCTAGAAAGTCATTCAGTACTATTTTCTGCTAGACTGCCGGGTCACGGAGGACGCCCTGGGGGATAGTATAGTGACAAAATTTGGGGGCTGTCAACAGATTTACACACCCGGCCAAGGGGCAGCATTTCATACTATAACTATATTATAGGTGAGTGCCAGGCGTGGCTAGCAGGAGCCAGCTATCTTATGATCTTTTTGATCTAGATGGTAATTTCTCCTGGCAGCTCTAAGTCATGACAGTAATCTGAAAATGAGATTATACAGATGAGATGTAGAGAATTGTACTGTACATCATCGAGTTCTTCTCAACTTCAAGATCTACTTGGGGACACTAGTAATTTTACAGTAAATATCAACTCGAAGGACCATGGATTAATGACGACGATCCTTGCTTGTAAATAGACAATAGACTATGCTATTATTTAAAAAATTTACTATTCCCAGCCAGCTATACAGCGTATACTAGTAGTCTATGCTATACGGAGTAGTTTCGCGTAGGGTTCTCGGAAAAAATAAAATAACATAAAAGAAATAAAAGAAAAGAAAAGAAATCCCAAATGGAGCCAGAACCTCGCCCCTCCTCAAGAATTTGATAGAGGCGCGTCTAGTTTCAGTCTTTGGCAGAGGGGATTCTGGAACGTCCCTTGGACACACTGCCTTGCCTGCCTGTTAACTTATTTACTCGATAAGATGGATACATTTTGGGTCAGGAATTAGCCGCCTGGTTCCCATCCTGCGGCAAAGCAATCCTGCTATTTAACATATATCATTAGATCTCCCTCGTCTTCGTCTTCGTCTTTTAGTTTTCCTTTTTTTGGCTCTATGCAGCGTATATCAAAAAGTTCTCAGGTTGTTCGTTGTTCAAGGCTCTGCTCCACTGCGTCGTTCGTGGTGGTGCCCAATTGATAAATAAGTTAATAATATATATTTAACTCTTCTCTCCCCCCGCCAAACCCAACCAACCACAACCCGGATTGGGCTGGGAGAGAGAGACCAAACAAGTGACCAACCCAACCCTCTCCCGCATCAACAACAACAAACATCAACAGCAGCAGCAGCAACAACAACTACTCATAGACATATATCTATCTACTCACATCCTAATCCAATACCATCTGTTCATTCATTCATTCATTCATTCATTCATTCATTCATTCATTCTGCATTCACTCACTCACTCCCTCACAGCGTCCCCGTCACCACCACTCATTTCTAACCAAACCTCGACGACGTCCCCCTCCCCAAATCATTTGCCCCCACCCGACAACAGCGTCGAGGATCGGCCAACAACCTGTTTCGTCATACAAGAGAGAAAAGCTAAAACTAAATATAAATATAAAAATAAACTAATCAAAGAAAAAGATAAATACATCGAACCTCCGGATCCACTCCCCAGACCATGGGTGACTCCTTCAAGGCGCGGACGCTGAAGCGAAAGAATGTGAAAGGGCTAGCTCTCAACTCTGCCGGGCCAAAGGCTGGCTCCAAGTCCTCCGACGGTGATGCTCAGATGCCAGGCGCCATCGGAAATTCAGACAGCAACCGGACAGACACGCTGGAGATCGGACTGGAGTTTAAGCTCGATTTGAGGAGTGAGGACCTGGTGGTGCTGAAGGAGCTCGGTGCAGGCAATGGCGGAACCGTCAGCAAGGTTATGCATGCGTCGACGAAGGTTATTATGGCTAGGAAGGTTTGTAGTCTACCTTTGTTTTCCTTTAAAAAAAAAAAGAGAAAAAAATTTCTTCTATTTTTCCGATGCATCTTCATAACATATTTATATATAATTTTTGGCACATATTTTGTGAATACAGGATCTCTAACGGCTGTGTCATTGGGGTTTTGTCGATCTAGATCATCCGAGTAGACGCCAAAGAGAATGTGAGGAAGCAGATTGTACGAGAGTTACAGGTCGGCCATGATTGCAATTCGCCGTACATTGTCACGTTCTACGGCGCTTTTCAAAATGAAGCCAGGGATATAGTACTTTGTATGGAGTATATGGATTGCGGGTATGTGAATGCTTTTTCCGTTAAATGCCTACTTTATGCCCTGTTTCCTGGGAGAAGAAGTATATAAAACTAAGTGATGTGTCTCCTCCAGCTCCCTTGACCGTATCTCCAAAGACTTTGGCCCCGTCCGCGTCGACGTCCTCGGAAAAATCGCAGAATACGTCCTCGGAGGACTAGTGTACCTATATGAAACACACCGCATCATGCACAGAGACATCAAGCCCTCCAACGTCCTAATAAACTCAAGAGGAAATATAAAGCTATGCGATTTTGGCGTGGCCACCGAAACAGTCAACTCCATAGCAGACACTTTCGTCGGCACATCGACGTACATGGCTCCCGAGCGTATCCAGGGCGGGGCATACACCGTGCGCTCAGATGTGTGGAGTGTCGGTTTAACCATAATGGAGCTGGCTGTGGGCCGCTTCCCTTTTGATGCAACAGACTCAGCTGCGGGTGACCGCGCAAGCGCGGGCCCAATGGGAATTCTGGATTTGCTACAGCAAATCGTGCATGAACCGGCACCCAAACTGCCCAAGAGTGATGCATTCCCGCCGATCCTAGATGATTTCGTCGCCAAATGTTTGCTAAAGAAGCCAGAAGAGCGGCCAACACCGCGAGAACTATATGTAAGTAGCCTATACGTCCCTTTCTCATGTATTACTTGATTTATTTATTTATTTTTCTTTTTATTACTATTTACTAGAATCTAACATGAACCAACAAACTCCACAGGACAAAGATGCATTCCTCCAAGCCGCCAAACGCACCCCCGTAAACCTCCGCGAATGGGCAATCAGCATGATGGAACAGCACAACAGGAAATCATACCTCGCCCCTCCAGCCCCAAAAGCCATCACCCGCGACGGCTCGCGGGATTCCATCTCCCACTCCCGAAACGCAGAGACCTCCCCGCGGCCCCGCTTCACACCGACGTCCGGCGAAATCCCCCTAAACATCGCCCGGGAACCTAACAGCAACAGCAGCAGCAGCAGCGGCGCGCGCATGTACAGTGATCCCATGTCCGCCATCGAACCCTCGTCCACAATGGGCTTCGAGCACCTCTCCCTCGGCAGCGCCACCCACCACCATCCAGACTACAACCACACCCACAACCCCGCCCACAATCCTCTCCAGCACCTAACCTCCAACGGCACCAGCAACAGCAGCGCAAAGAGCAACAACAACAACAACAACAACGGCCACCCTCACTCCCACTCAACCCGCCAATACCCCAGCCACCCACACATCGACACCTCCGTCCCGCAGTACGCATCGCCCATGTCCGCGTCCGCCGCAACGACGCGCGCGGCGATCCAATCAGCAACACTGCCGTCGAGGCCCGCGCCGCCGCCCTCCGGCCCGCTACCTGCGCCTCCTGGCTCGGCGGGGTCTGGCGGTTGGCGGACGCATAGTCATCGGGTATGAAGCTTGTGAGTGGGGGTTGGTGAGCGGTGGTGGGAGCGGGCGGAAAAGAGAGGGAAAGAGAGAGAGGAATATTATGGGGTATGTGATTGTGATTTAAATTTAAGCCATTTTGTCTTTTATCTTTATCTTCTGTTTTTTTTTTTCCCCTCTGGGCGTTCTCGTCGGTTGTGAATATCTTCCTCCTTTCTTCCTTTCTAGTTTATTTTTCAACAGTTTATTCTCCCCTTTTCTAGGATGGATTGGATCCATGGATGTTATAGCCACGCTTTTCTGGTTCTTTTTTCTCTGTCATTTTACTCTGTTCTCTCTATTCCCCCGACCCTTCCCCCCCCTTTTTTTTCTTTCTTTCTTTCCTCTTCTATTCTATTCCCCTCAACGCAAGGCAAGGAGGAGGGAAGCTATCCAGTTTCTCTTATCCCCCTCTTCTTCCACAACTCAGCTCAGCTCAGCTCTTATTTATTTATTTATTTATTTATTCACTTTTCTGTCCAGGATTATTGAATATGAAACACACACACGTGCACACTCTGACTCTGACTCTGACTGACTCTGACTCTTGACTCTGACTCTGACTCTTGGCGTTTCTCTCTTACCTCCTGACTCGTACCCAATTCTTGCAAAGGCCGGGACGTAGGAAGTAGGAAGGAAGAATACAGCCCAGCGGAACATGAGACAAGGCGCAGGACGGCGTTGTTGACGAAGCGGCAGTCATCAGTAGGAGGTGGGCGAAAAGGACGTAAATCATGGTTAACAACAGATCTATATATATATATATATGTGTGTGTGTGTGTATTTCAATAGATTTTTTTTATCATGATTCTAGATTATAAAAGCACAGGATATCCCAAAACCACATCTCTGTTGTTTGTAAGTCACAAGAAAAAATTAATTATACGTAAGGGGAAATAAACGAACAGACAAACAAACAAATGACTTGCATTCTTTTTCTTCTTTCTTATGAACATGTGAGCGAGATAGATAACATGAGCCAGACATTTGTAGAGAGTAACCATGCAGTTAGTATATAAAATGCAAAACATATATAACCCATCCATCCATCCATCCATCCATCCCTTTCTAAGTGTAGTTTTTTTGACAAAAATGGTGCAGATATGTAAATATATATATGTAATGTAATGTATGTATGTATGTATCCCGCCAATTAATGATGATTGAAAACAAAATATGTAAGAAGAAATGACAGAGAAATATATAGTTTTGTCTGTGATGATGGGGAAGACAAAGACAAGGAATGGGCAACGAAAAGGGAAGTTAACAACATCAACACATCATCATGACATCTGGTGTTTCTCACAGGATGTAAACAGGGAAACTTTGGGGGGAGGGGAAAACAAGGGAGTTAGTTATATATATATGGAAGCCAAAAAAAATCCAAGGCGAAGGAAGAATCGGTTAAAACTCTTTTGATCAGAAAAGTGTAACGAATATGAAATAAGACCATGCAATCAGGACAGAGTGAGGGGGGTTAAGGTAAGTAAGGCAGGAGAGGTGATAGACAATAACTTAGAACAGGAACCGGAACCCGAATAGACACCAGAAAGCGAAAAAAGGGACCCAAAAAAAAAAAAAAATGAAAAAAAGAAAAAAATGAAGGGAAAAAGAAACAAACTTCCTCAAACCATCTCAAACCCTTTCCTCCTCCCGCCCTTCTTCCCACCACCACCGCCGCCGCCACCACTGCTACTACTCCCACCACCACCACCAATCCCCAACCCCATCCCCTTCGCCTTCCTCTTCACCACCGGCCTCACCATAACCGGCAAACAATCCAACACCCCTCTACTCCCCTCAAAATAATGCGTCACAAACCCCCACCTCAACAACCGCCGCAATGCCGCCAGGCGTAACCACTTCCACCATCGATCCAGCTTCATAAACGCATCCTGGTGGATCTTCACCGTCTTCCGCGTGCCATACTGGCGAGACGTCTCGCTGTCGATGGCCTTGCTGTACTGCGGGCCGCGCCGCGGGTTGGCGATGGTGGTGTGGATGGAGGAGAAGTTGGCGTGGAGCGAGCGTTTGGACTTCTTGTTGATGTGGCGGCCGGAGACGTTGGCGAGGGCGTCGACTTGGTGGAGGATGCGCGGGGTGTTGTGGTATGCGTTGTAGCGTTTGATGAGCGGCGGGCCGTGATCGCCTGCGGGTCCATCCTCGTCGTCGGATAGGAACGAAGACCCGTCTTCGTCCGCGGAGGACTCATTCTCCCCTTCGTCCTCCACGTCCGGCATCGACTCCCCTTCCTCCAGTGGCGTGTAACTCTTCTCATAGAGCAGCGCGATGTTCTCGCCTGCGGCAATCTGCACCGCCGCCTCGGTGCTCTCCAGCTGCTCTGCAAACGCCTCGATGGCGTCTTCGCTCTCATGTTCGAGATCCTCGACCTCCGTCGCGAGGAATCCCCACTCCTCTAGCGCGGCGGTGACAACACTCGCATCGTCGGGCGCATTAACATAATGGCCATCGGACGAAACGATCTCGAGCAAAAAGTTCATCTGGTCGAGGATCTCGTCCTCGCCCGCGTCGCCGAAGAAGGTGCAGGCGCCCAGGCAGTGGATGGCGGCTGCTTTGATGGGCATGTTGGGGGAGTCTGTGATGGTGCGGCGAAGCAGAGAGGAAAACTGGTCGTAGATGGTTCCATCGAGGAAGGTCAGTGCCGTGAGGCTTACTGCTTTCAGGGCTAGGACTGTTTCTTTCTCGCTGGACTCGGATTTGATGCTCTTGGCGAAGGAGGCGAGGAGTTCGTTGAATTCAGGTAGGGATTCGTCGACGTAGTGGGATGTCAGGATGCGGACGTAAGCAGTCAGTGCGTCCTCGCGACTCAGGTTGCTGCTGCGTTTGCGGTCGTTGTAGTCTTTTATCACTTCTTCTAAATCTTGTTGCCAGGTTTCGGAAGCGGCTGCTTCTTCATCATTTGCAGAGGGGAAGTATTCATCGAGCGATGGGGAGCTGTGGGACGGAAATAGATATGTTAGCAGTGCGCAAAAGAATTTATTTAAATTTTTTTTCTTTTTTTTTAAAAAAAATTTCCCCCTTTCCATTTATAAAAAAAATTAAAACCATACCTGTAGGCCGTTCCTTCACTCTCAGCATCCTCGTCATCTGAAGGATGCCTGCTCGCGTTACGGGAGGAAGGGCGGGAGTTTTGAGCGGAGCTTGCGCGCGAAGTAGCCCGAGAGGCTTCACGGCTCTGTGCTTTGCGCGAGACGGTCTTTTTGCTCTCAAGAGCCTGACGACGGAGATCCCGCATGTTGGCTAGAATGTATATCGAATTCTCTTGGGTTTTGGTTCCCTTGTTTTGTGGGGGATGGGGGATACGAGAGAGGTAGGCTGTTGGACCTCTGTTCCTCTTCGTCTTCTCAATAAAGTGTGTTTTTTTGGGAGCGAAAAGTGTAGGAGTAAGGATGTATCGTGCTTGGAAGAAGCTCGCGGTTGATGATATATATATATATGTATATATATATAACGAGAGTGGCGAAGCCTATTGATAGGTAGGATAGAGAAGGATGCGCTGGTGCGCACAGTAGTAGAGGGTTCAGTTCGTATTTCTTGGGGAGTCCGGCAGGTGCTAGCCCAGAGGCCTGGTGGTCTTGCAGTGGTACATGCACAAGATGCAGCGGAAGGTGTGTAGAGACGAATAGTCCATAAGGTCAAGCATTACCATTACTAGGGTAGAAGAAGAAGTCTTATACCGCGGGATCGTTTGGGAGTCTGAGCGGGGTGGTGACGGAAATGTGTGGAGAGTGGTTGGTTGGTTGGTTGGTGGGGGTGGAGGAGGAGGAGAAGAAGATGATTGTTGTATATTGTTAGGGCTCTTGGTGGGTGGGTGGGAAATGACGTAAAAATAGTCTGGCAGGCAAAAAAAGTCAACAGGATAAAACACGCAGACTAAGATCACAACACAGAGGACGAGATGGATGGATGATTGGAGTGTATATATACATTAGCCAATACTCTCGAACCCTCGAAGTCGAAGTAAGTGAGGTAACTGGATATAGATATCTAACTGCTGCAGCGTCTGGCCTATACAAAACAAAAAAAAAAAGAAAAAAAAGAATTTCCCCGATTAGCAAGATTAGGGCTCGCCCTCTGATCCCGATCCGGCTAGCTAGCCGAGGCCCTGGCAAATGACGTCATTTTGTTAGTTCCTATTTATTCGAGTTCGAGTACAACAAAATAACACAATAATACACATACCATAGTTACCATACAAAGAGTAGAGAGAGCCTTTTGACTATTATTGCTCTATTGTATGATCAGCATTGGTATTAATGTATTATTTATTATTTCAATAATAATAATAATAGGTAACTTACCGTACTTCTTATAAGTAAGTAGCTCTTGGGACAGCCAGGGAAAATGCGTAGGGAGAGAGATGCTGTCATGATTGCTAACTTACCAAGTAACAGCTTCAACTAGTCATTATTAATACTTAGTTACCTAGGTTATGGTTATTGGTTGGTATAGGTATATATCCACAGCGGGATGACGATATTATTTCCCCCTCTCTCTCTCCCACATCATCACATGTCATCATATGTTTGATCTTTTCGCTAGCTCTCCCTCTCTCTCTCTCTCTCTCTGCTTGGCTTTGTGCTATGCTGTCCATAATATATATATATATATATATATATGCATGTACAGACATCTATCCATCTTGTTTCCTAGTTCAACAGCAGAGAGTCTATCTAGCTGGGGATTTGGCATGGCTATTATTGCAGCCAGTCCAGCAGTCAGCTGCTGACATTTATCACAAGCCGAGTTCGGGATTCAGAAAGAGAGAAAGAGGAAAAAGGGAAAAAAGAAACTCTAAGCGAGTAAGTTACTCCGTAGAAATAAATAAGGGATAATAATAATAATAAGGCTCGAACTTGGAAGTCGAGAGAGAGAGAGTTGAGGGTTTATCTATCGCCTGATCTGCCCGTTCTCCACCGCCAAAACTTAGTTAAACACGGGCTAAGAACTTAGTGGGAAGAAGCCCCATTCTGGGCGGTGTCTGGGCGGTGTCTGGGCGGTGTCTATCTCCGTTCTAGGCCTTCTACCGCAGTCATCCACTTATTATTTACTACTAGTACTAGTTATGATGCCAGCGGTTAACCTAGGAGGTTGATGTTTATGTTAATGTTTGTTTATTAATTATTATGCTCATGTGGCCAGCGGAACCAGTCAGCCCGCAGGGGGACAGACAACACTCTTTGCAACTAACTAACTAGTTACATCCTATAACTATATAATAAGAGTCTTGTTATAAGGTAGTTATAACACATACACACATACATAGTTACTACATTGCAATGAGTGTTTCTGTATAGGTAACTTTCCCCTCTCTGTTTCTCTCTCCGAGATATTCCATACTCTTTTTTCTCTCTTCGATTCCAGATACACCTCCATGTTACAACCATTCAATTATTCTTGTATGTACAGTTACTTCTGCTGCTGCTGCTGCTGCTGCTGCTGCTGCTGCTGCTGCTGCTGGTCCCTGAACAAGATTTCTGCAACGGCAAAAAACCGTCCGTCTTAGCCAGTCTCATCTGCCGGTCATTTTTTTTTAGCTTCATTCTTGTACAGCAAAACTCTCCTCAAACCCTCTCAGAAAAGGAAAAAAAGAAAAACCTCACATCTTCTCTAATTCTATCCTAGTTATATTATATATATATATATATATATATATATGATTGCAGAAGTCTGAACCACAATGGCCACTACGCGCTTCTTCTTCTTCTTCTTCTTCCTTTCTAACATTTATTCTAGTTTCGCCTCCAAGCACAAATCTTGGAACAAGCATCACTCGCTCGGCTACAAGGGTATCTAATAAGTTGGTACCGCCGACTTCCATCTTGTCGCCACCAAGTACTAACATTTATATCTTTTTTATTTTGTATTTAAGAATACAAAAAATAAATAAAAAAAGCTTCTCCCTCCTCAAAATAAACAAAAAAGAACCGCTACCCTGGCGCGACCTCCAGAATCCGCGAAACGTTTCCTTTGTCTCTCTTCTCCTCCCCCCAGGTCTACTTCACCACCTGCCCGAGACCATTTCGCACGACCTTCTCCCACCAAAGTATCCCGCAGATCTAGAACCAATCGACCCTCTTCAATATCCCTCCCCCCCGCGGGATATGGAGATATGTTGTTAACTCGTGCGTCTCCAGCTGCGGTGGACACGGTGGAGTCTGTGAGCTCGGGCTCGTTCACTCCAACCTCGTCGCGAAGCCGGCCCGCCTCCGTCGCTGAGTCCCTGCGCAGCAACACGGTGCCGCCGGACGGGCATTCGCAAAATGCGCCAGTATCAGCCCTGTCGCTGTCGCTGTTACGGAACGAGAAAGTAATCGCGTCGTCAAATGGCATTACCGTTTCGATATGCTTGGCTGAACCTGTGCTGTTCCTCGAAGGGTTCGATCGGAACGATGCCGACACGAGGAAGACTTCGATTCTCCGGGGGATCCTGCGTCTGAAGCTATCTAAATCTGCTAGGATTAAGAAGATTTCTTTGAATTTCAAGGGGATGGGCCAGACGAATTGGCCGGACGGTGAGTAGTCGTCCCCCAGTAATCTCCATATATTGCGATTCTACGTAGTTAGTGATAACCAAATTCTAATAGGACTATGTTGATTCTAATATGACTATCTTCATAGGCCTCCCGCCCAAAAAGAGCCAACTCCACGAGCAACATGTAATAATGAACCACACCTGGATGCTATTCAACGCGCAGCTCCCAGCCGCGGAATATAGCCACGGCGCAGACCACATGAACCTCAAGGTGCCGATGGTATCGACAAAGGAGCTGGCCGCATCGACAATCGAACTACTCGCAAAATCCGGCTCAGCCACATCACTAGCAAAGCTACCCAAGGAAGCCAAAAGACTCTCCCTCCAATCGACGTACTCGCGGAGCTTTGCCAAAGGCGACACCCACCACGGCGGGCCCAGCGTCGCATCGCGAGGCTACAAGCTCTTCCAGCCGGGCGAGTACTGGTACAATTTCGAGCTCCCCATCTCCTCGCGGTACTCGGAGAGCATCAACTCGATAGCGGGCTGGGTCAAGTACACGCTGGAAGCGACTATTGAGCGATCGGGCGCCTTCCGCCCTAACCTCCTCGGCCACAGGGAGGTTCCCTTCATCCGCACCCCGCCCGAGGGTTCGCTGGAGCACGTCGAGCCCATTGCGATATCGCGCACGTGGGAAGACCAGCTGCACTACGACATCATCATCTCGGGCAAATCGTTCCCGCTCGGCGGGCAGGTCCCCATTGCCTTCAAGCTGACGCCGCTGGCGAAGGTCGTGCTGCACCGCATCAAGGTGATTATCTCGGAGAACACGCAGGTCGTGGCGAATAACAAGGCACACCACCGGCTCGATACGACGAAGAAGGTGCTTTTGTTCGAGAAGCGCGCGGATGCGCAGAGTACCAGTGCGTTTCCTGGTAGTGTTTGTCGGGTCACCGCTGGCGGGGGGGTTGCGTACGATTCGCGCCGGGAGGCGGCGGAGGGGATCGAGTATGTCAATCGGCGGAGTACGAATCTGCTGGGCGATTTGGAGAGGAGCTTTGAGGCGGGGCCGACGGAGATGGAGTTCAATGTGCAGCTGCCTAGCTGTGCGGAGCTGAAGAAGAAGGATACCTCCCATGCGCTGCACTTTGATACGACGCATGAGCAGTTGATAATAAACCATTGGATCAAGGTAGGGTGGTGCCCGTTCATGATAATATATGATGAATAAATTCTTGTCCTAAAGAGCTGAAAAAAAAAAAAAAAAAAAAAAAAAA